ATACGCACCCTGACAGCTGCAAAAAACCCAACAGATTTACTATGAGACGTGGGGGGGGGTTACATCTGGTAATGATGTGTTTGTTAGGAAGCTCTCATAGTAAATCTGTTGGGTTTTTTGCAGCTGTCAGGGTGCGTATAAAGTGTGATACATGCATTTTGAGATGTCTCAATACCAGCCCCTCATCAGGAATATATCACTATAAAATTCTCGTGGAATTCATTAGCCAAGCACTTAGGGAGTGTTTTCAGTTTACACTGTAAGCTGGCTGGCTTTGTCCAAAGGACGACACCTTTTGTGGGCCTTTTTAACAGTCCTGAACCTCGCAGGTGGGATTGAGATCAGTGAACTACCTCAATGGGGAGTCATCTTTTCCCCCAGATGGAACACAAGCAGGGTATGTCCTCAAAAAGGTCACGATAAAACTCCATGTAGAAAAAAAGAGAGCAGATACTTTGTTAAGCTGAGAAGTTCTGCATAATGTCTTCTTGGGCACAGCCTGTTGGCAGACAGGATGGAGCACAAGTTTCCACAGGATCCCGATGTTTAGTGGAGAAGATTAGAAGCATTTCTGAGTCGGTGAGAAAGAAGGAAGATTGCCGAGCACAGACAGCGTCTCCAGCCTGACAACTTCTCTTTTTTTGTGGTTTTTAACATCTTGTAACATTTAACACACCACCACCACAGCCACAGTCATCTTTGGGGGTGGATCTCCCTGTGAATGGCTAAGATTTTTGCCTTGTTTTAGAGAATATGGTTCAGAAACTACTAAGCATAAGTGACCACAGATGAGATGAAAGACAACATGGAACAAGGGAGAGAAACTGAGGGTAAAGAAACAGCTTCATCCAGAGAAAACATGAAAGTCACTGCAGCACAGATGGAAGAGATTAATCGCAATGTTAGGAGATGACGTAAGGCTTCATCTGCCCGAGTTCCAAGTTAATGGGAACAGTGGTGGTCCAGATCAAACTTTACTGTTGGCTAAACTGGGCTTAAGTTGCACCATGCAAACACAACATGAGGAATTGTCTTTGTCGTAGCTGAAACCACTTCAGATACAGCCAGGCGCCAGTCAAAACATCAGGAAATCGCAGGCTAATCAAGATTTAAATGAAGTTAATGACAGGAAATGGGCCGGACCGACTTCCGCTGCACTAGTCCCAATCCCTCTCTGCTCTCCTCAGACATACTTTGAGTTGTCTCCAGTTGGCAGCAAAGCAGAGTACACTTTGTTATTTCTATCCTTAATTTCAATACCTACGCCCGACGATGCACAAACAGCATGGTCACCTACTGCCCTCTAGTGAGACCTTCTGAAAGCTAATGTAACGTCCAACACAGTCACACACTTATTTCTGAGAACTCTAGCAGATGTTTTCCTCTGTTAAATAAATTAAATCCACATGCACCATGTATTACCAAGGTCATTTAATTTGAAATTTACAAATTTCAAAAAACATAATGGGGCATATATATATATATAAAAAAGGCCTACAGGAAAAAAAAAAAAAGTAGTCATGTTGAAATAGATGGCGCCATCATTTTAACTTTGCAATCTCACAATATTTGTCTTTCAGCATATTTACAGAGTCAACATTTTCAATTCTCGCACTATTGAGGCCTTTCCAAAAATATATATATTTTCATTAACATTACAGCTTGTGAACATACAGCATCTCACCCAAATAATATCCAGAATAACATCCAAACATATTCATGCATAAGAAACTGATAAAAAATAAGCTCAAGGAATAGCCTGGTGGGGAAAGAACGAGCTTGTGCTGATGTTAAAGAAACGGTTTGATATTTTGTAAAATACACTCGTTTACTTTCTTGCTGAGTTAGAGGAGGAGATTGATAACCACTCATGTAATTACCGGCAACAAAGCAAATAAGTTCCCAAAATGTCAAACTATTACTTAGTTACATAGTCCTGAACGATTGGCTAATGTGACTACATTTACTGTACAGTGAAGAGGAACCTTTACTGTACAGCATCATTCTGTATCCTTCATGTATTGCTTGGTTCAGTTGGTCCGTTGCAACTGTAGTAGCCTAACCGCCAAACGCAGCGCGTCAGTGTGTGTGTGTGTGTGTGTAAAACGTTCTGCTGCAGTCCGCCCTCGAGCCCGACTCAGTTCATGTTAGCGTGGCTCTTCAGGTGCCTCCTCAGGTGGTTCAGACAGGTGTAGGTCTTGGGACAGATCTGGCAGTGGTACGGTCTCACCCCCGAGTGGTTCAGCATGTGCTGCTTCAGCACGCTTCCGTCCGAGAAGGCTTTCCCGCACTGGGTGCACACGTACGGCCTCTCCCCCGTGTGCACGCGCATGTGAACAGTCACCTTGTGCGCCATAGTGAAACCTTTGCCGCACACCGTGCACTTGAACGGCCTTTCTCCGGTGTGGGTGAGCCTGTGTGTGCGCATCGCGCCCATCTGGGAGAACGCCTTGCCGCATTCTGGGCAGACGTGCGGCTTCTCGCCCGTGTGCACCCTGGTGTGACTCCGCAGCCCCCCCGCCGTGGAGAAACACTGCGAGCAGTGGGTGCACTGGTACGGCCGCTCTCCCGTGTGTGTGCGCATGTGCTGCTTCAGGTCGTAGCGGTTCCTGAAGCCGCGGCCGCAGACCAGACAGCTCTCGGGCCTGTCGTCGTTGTGGCGCAGCTCGTGGTTGGCCAGGCATTTCTCGGACAGGAAGCACTTGCCGCACTCCCGGCACTGATAGGGTTTCTCGTGGTCGACTCGCTGGTGGTACTTCAGCTCGCTGATGCCGGGGAAAGTCTCATCGCAGTACCTGCACCTGAAGCGATGGTTGGGGCTGTAGGGAAGCTGGTGGTCGCTCATCTGATGGTTCCTCAGCAGGTGGGCCATCTTGAAGGTCTTTCCGCAGTGAGAACACTCATACTTTGTCAGCAGCTGGACACACTGATGTCTGACCCGCTCGTGCAGAGACCTGAACTGACAGCCGCACTTTGTGCAAATGTGGGACGCATTTTTACACTTCCTCTTCCTGTGCCGGGAGAGGTGGGCCTCCGTGCGGAAGGCCTTACCGCACTGAGAGCATTTGTAAGGCTTCACCGCAGTGTGGAACCTCTGGTGCTCGAGAAACTCAAAACGATACTTAAAGCTCCTCCCACACAGTGGACAGTTATGCGTGACCCGTCCTCGCGGGTAGGCTGCCTTGACAGACGCTTTCCTGGAGGACGCCGAGGACACCCGGTGAGCGGAGCCGCTCTTCCGATGTTTTCCTCTGCTCATCAACTTGGCCGTCTCCATGTCGCCCACCTCCTCGTGCCGTTGCTGATGTTTGGTGAGACACTTGGAGGAGATGAAGCTCTTCCCGCACTGCTTACACTGATAAGGCTTGTCATGATCTACCTGCTGATGATACTTCAAGTCGCCGATCCCTGAGAAACCCACCCCGCAGTGGCTGCACTTGAAGAGGCGGCTTTGGACGTGAGTTAGCAGGTGTTCTTTTAAGCTGCTAGACTTTTGAAAACTTTTCCCGCAGTGCCCACAGTTGTAGCTGCGGCCACGTTTCGGGCAGTGGTGCCTGAATTTGTCCAGTGAGGTCGGAAAACTGTTCCCGCACTTAATGCACAGATACGCCGCGTTTTTGCATTTCCGTAGCCGGTGGCCGGCCAGCAGAGTGGCCGTTCTAAAAGCCCTCCCACACTCGGAGCAGTTGTAAGGCTGTAGCCCGCTGTGGACTCTCTGGTGTTCGATGAGGACGGAGTGGTGCTTGAAGCATTTGTCACACTCAAGGCATTTATGCGTCCCCGACTGCTGCCTCCTGCGAGGAGACGACGAGATGTCTGCCCTCTTTGGGGATTCGGGGAAGTCCGTCGAGGTGGAAGGGTTCGTGGAGAGTTCTTCGTCGAACATGACAATCTGAGGAACGTCGTTGTTTTCGTCGTCACACGCACTCGGGTGGGACGCGATGGCCACTTCCAGCGATGGAGGGAGAGACAGGGAGGGAATGAGAAGATCGTCCGACTCAAACGGAGCTGCAGGGAGAAAAAAAGTTAATACAACAGTCTCCCCTCTTCTTCAACTAATACACTACATGAGGACTTTTTTTTTTATAGCGAATGTGCACGTACCAACACTACACTTAGCCAGTTTTCCATGGCACTGTTTGCTTTGGAGAAGAAACTTAAGGTCATCTCCATTTGAGACACACTGCATGTACTCCTCTAAGACAGAGGGGGCGGCACTGATCCAGGAGGCAGTCTGTATACGAGAGGCCCAGAAAATTATAAAAAAAAGAGACATTTTGAAGTTGAAAGGTCTCCTAATGTATTGACTGTATTTTATAATCCTCTTTGCACCTGTTTGAAATCTGGTATTGGCAGCAGCTCCTCCAGTCTGGTAAAGAACTCACAAACCAGAGTCTCCAGAGCTGTGTCGAAGTCAGGGCCGTACTCCACTGGGAACACATTCTGTCAGATGGGGGGGGGAGAAGACAACCAGACACCTTCAGCACACGGCAATATACCAACATTTCTCAAATTCTGTCGGGTAAAACTGTGAGAAAGACACGGATGTATAACATTTGAGTTCTGCCAGATCATGTCATTTAGTGCACCGTGTACATGAAACGTATTTGTACCTTGAGGAAGTGCTCTCTGCCGTCAGTGTCTTCGATGAGGCCTTGCACCAGCTTCATAAAGTTCGCCTCTGGTGCCTCAATAACAGGATCGTTGGTCTGCGTTAGAAAACAAAACACCACAGTCACATGATTATAGGCGACGTAAATGTGAACAAAATATGAGACAACCAACTAGGGCGGACATTATCTTCGTTATTGATAAATAACGTTATCGTTAATCTGTTTATTGTTTCAACAAAAATGTCAGAAAATAGTGTAAAATGCACAGAACAATGTCTTCTAACTGATTGTGTTGGAGCATTCTGCCAGAAATCAATCACTCCACCAAAAGACACAGATATCTTCTTCACAAATAAACACAACAGAATGATTCTCTGATCATCTGGAAGCTAACAAACAAGGCTATCCACTATGTCAATGCTTTTGGTCCAAAATAACTGAATATCCAAATGATGTATTTATTATAGCATAATTCATATGCCTGACCCAGGGCACCACTGCAAGTCCATCTCTTCCAAACACAGGTTATATAGTATACGCCCTTTTTTGGGACTCCACATTAATTGTACCTTTTTGCAAAGCTTCACACACTAGAGCGCAAAACTGCAAACCAGAAAGATTCAGTTAGAAGCACAGAAGTACTGGGACTTTCAAAACAAAGTGCATTTACTCTTGGAACACAATTTTGAGGTACTTGAAATTGTGGATAACTTTGTTTGTTAGCTTACCGATGATCAGAAAACCATGCTGTCATGTTTATGTTTTGAAGATATGTGTATTTAGATGGGTCAACTTTGAGGGCCACTGTTTTCCAAAATGGTTTGTCATTCTGTTTAATCAAACCTACGTTATAACACTGACATGTGTTTGCATGTGAAAGAAATTAATTCACCATCGCCATCATATCAGACTAAAAGAAAGCAGCAAGTCCTGATCTTTGAGAGGTTGGAACCAGTTGATGTTTTGGTATTTTTGCTGTAACATTTAGTCAAACGAATAATTATTAGCTGAGTAATCATTTCTGTTCTTCAACCACTCGATTAAAAACACTCACCTCCTCAATGCAAGATGTTCGGATTCGGTTGAGGTGGCTCTCAACAGCCTTGAGATCTTCAGGGTGCTCAGAACGCAACAGCTCCAGAGTTGTCTAGAGGAAATTGAATACACGATATTAATGTTTCAATGATATCCTTTTATTGAGTCTCTTATTCGATTGTTCTCTTTTCATACATGATGGATCTACACATTTCAAAACACTCACCCTTGCTCTCAGGCCCAGTGAGAGCAGCCTCCCTTCTCTTTTGCTCATCAGTTCAGGAACTGCATCTGTTACCATGGACACAAACTCCTCCAGTTTCCCATAGTGCTTTATGCTCCTCTGGCGGACCACTTCCCACATCACCGCTGACATCAGCCGGAGTGGTGGGACCAGGATGGCCAGCGAGGACAGAGGGACACTGAATTCTTCAAAAAGAAATTCGATTGGGTCAAATAAACGTACAAAGCAAGATGGATACCTTGTACTGTGTGACTGCTGCTACATATACCCGGGGGGGGGGGGTCACTTCCCATGTGACATGTGTTGTGTTTTAATGTTGAAAGATTGGATTTTGTGTTATATGCAAATATTCATTCATACTAGGTCTTATTGGCGTACTTATGAGTATCTGAGTGCTTGTTTTTAGCAGGAGGGGGAATAGACTCCAGTGCTAATTGAAGACAAGCAATACATGTTCTAATCAGTACAGCATCTCACTTTAAAGTCAGTACAGCCACAGAAACCCGCGCGCTCTGTTCTTTCCTCCTGTCTCCATCCCTGTGGTGAACTAGCTCGTGAGAGTAGGACGTACATCAAAGTAGGGTGCGTTCTCTGGAGCACCAGGGTTGTTTTCAAACGTCTAGCTCCAACCACTCACTGCATTTGTATAGCTAACGTTAGTTCTGAACGTTATGGTAGTACTTATATACTAAAATAAACCCACTCGGTACTTTTACACTGTGCGAAATGGCACAGGAGGTAACTTATAGTGAGTAACGTTAGCAAAAACATGACCAGTTTGAACACATAACGTTAACCGTTAGCTTTATTTCAAATTAAACTGGCTATTGCTAACTATCAGACAAAACGTGCCAACAGTTAGGTTGCGTTTCATACATTTAAAAACATTTTTGACCGCAGAAAAAACGTTTCCAGCAGAAAGGTATTGTTAAACACGAGACACAGAGTTACCGTAAGGTATCGTTACCAGACTAGACAGGAGGCCGCTGGTGTTGCCTGGTAAAACAGACTTATTATTGGGAAAAACAATTCTTGTTCCAGGGATTAGTCGAGGCCTGTTCAGCCTCGGCTAATCCCTCGCTTTAGCTATTCAACTAGCTGCATAAGCGATAAATATACTGTTTAGCCGAGCATCGCAAGCTAATACATACCCGTGTCGTTCATTTTGGATTTCTTTAATAACGATGGAAAGAAAAATTACAAAAGACTATCTTTCATACTTTCGGTTAGCGTGTTAGCTAGCCGCATACGGGGCTTCAGGCGCCAACTTCTTCCTGAAACACGTTCATTCTGGGGGAGCGGTGTTTCTGTCCTTGTCTAACAGCGAGGTTCGTTTTGCTGTACGGGGCAGCCCGGATGAGACAATGCTAATTCACCCTACTTTCAAAATGAGATGCACCGCCTTTCCGGACAACCAAATAACTAAATCTTTGAAGTAATGTTTAAATTTGATAAATGTTTTCTTTTATGTTGCATATTATCACATAATTGTAAATTAATAGGTTTTGAATATATATTTCCAAAAACTATGTAAAAACTAGTTTGCCATTGAAGCGATTATAATTTTACTCCCTTATAAAAGAGATTTAAAATCTCAATGGGATTATCTGGCATAAATGCAGGTTCAATAAAATAATAAAAAAATCAGCTTGTAATACAGTCTACCAGTGGTGGGTCGTCAGGGCCTGCAAGGCCTCTGCTGGCCTAAACAGAATCATAAAGTTATATCTATTTTATAATTTAATAATTTTTCTTAAATACATTACATGTATTATAATTTATAAAAATATTTTTCCCATTATCTTATTTTCTCATTGCACAGCTATTGTCTTCCTCAGCTGCTCTGCTTCCAGTGCAGCTTGTTTTAATTAGAGCTTTTATCCAATCAGATTTCACCTGTGTCTCTAGGTAAGAAGAGAGGCCCTAGGCCTGCAGACTCACAAGTGCATGCCTTTGCAGTTTAAGTGAATGGGGACGATATTGTTGATTGTCATAGTGTTCAACCAATCAGATCTTTAGTTTGACATGTTGGGCGTATTCTTTGATGTGCCAGAGCCTGCTAGCTGACCTACAAGTACATCAGTATTACTGCAGCTCAGCTTTCAGGAGCAGCTCTACAGTGAGGTGCAGCGTGTGCTGTGATTGGTCAGTGGTCATGTGACTATCGTGAAACGAAAGTTAACACCAGAGGCTTAGTCGGAGTAGTGAGAGTTCAAATTGAAAGATATGGAAGAAATCACATTTTTTGCATTTTGCTTGGTGTAGATTTTTAAAATTTTTTTTTTTACCTAGCTTTTAACACTCAATGGCTGAAGGAGGAGGCGAAACGGATTTGTGAGTTGGGATTTAACTCTTGGTCAACAAAGAAAGGACTAGGAGCATGTGATCAGCATTTGGTAAATCAACTTTTTTTTTTTTTTTTTTTACATCCAATATCTGAATGGCCCGTGCCCTTGAGTGTGTAGCAGAAGGCGTGTTGCTGCTGTTGTTTTCTCGTTAAGCTAGTTAGCGTCACCTCCCAGAACACTTGCGGAGCCCCAGCTGTTTTATGTTGTTGTTTTTTTTGTTCCTGGGGCAGCGGCCGGAACTGGAGGGCGCGGCTGGAATCAGCTTGGCGGAGGCGGGGGCCCACTGCAGATTGGCGGAGGCAGGGGTCTGCTGCGGCTTGGCGGAGGCTTGGGCCAGCTTGGCGGAGGCGGGGGCCGGCTGCAGCTTGGCGGAGGCGGGGTCCCGCTGCAGCTTGGCGGAGGCGAGGGCCCGCTGCGGCTTGGCGGAGGCGAGGGCCCGCTGCGGCTTGGCGGAGGCGGGGGCCGGCTGCAGCTTGGCGGAGGCGGGGGCCGGCTGCGGTTTGGTGGAGGCGGGGGCCTGCTGTGGTTTGGCGGAGGCGGGGGCCTGCTGCGGCTTGGCGGTGTGGTGGAGGACTTAAATGCAGACAAGACCTGAAGTAGAGTGAAGCAGGTATTTAATTAAAATGTGAAAACAGAACAGAAAACTTACAGGAACATAACAGGGAATCCACGGACGAGACAAGAGACGAGGGGGGGAAATCCAGCAGGACGAGGCAGGGCAGGCATACGGGGAACCCGGGAACAGGACGAGCCAAACGGGCGGGTAGACATGAAAATGATCTGGCAGTGAGTGCATGTATACATGGTTGTATGGTGGTTTATACAAAAAAATAGACTAACTTTGGATGACATTTCAAACATTTTTTAACCGTGTTACAACTACAGTCGATGGTTACGACAGCCTTTCGGGTGATTCAAAAACGTCTGTGTGTCTATTTTGTTTTTGGTTTAATTTCTGGTTTCGTTTTCGACGCCAGAATTGGATGTTACCGTCCACACCTTAATGTTACACGTACATTTAATAATGGCTAACTATATCATATGATGATGTTTTATTCAGAAGAAGCGGTAAACGTGCTCTTGATTTACTGTCAATAACGTAGAAACGTAATAACATTAGTAATTCAGTCATGCCAAATAACTTAACTCCCAAAGTTAAGGCTACAGTCACAGGATCATAAGAATGTCATGTGTCCCTCTAACAAAGAACTAAAAACACTGACCCAAGCACAGCGTGCTATTTCAATGTTAATACCTCACCTCCTTTGGCCTCTTGCTCTCTGGAGGCGGACCATGTGAGGAAATCAGAGGGAAACAGAATTACACCTCCAAACTTAACAGCCTTAAGATGTCCACTTCGTGAACGTGAAACACACATTAGGCTAAGTAGGAGTCATTTCAATACCAGAACTATTATACCATTATAAATCATACGTACCACTGTCATCAACTGAACAAGCTTGGACAGGCTTGGTTGAAATGCTGGTGTCCTTCAACTGCATGCTCTTCAGTTCCGGGAAAGTATTTTTAATTTCCTCATCAGTTTGCAGGAGGTTCAGGAAGGCTTTGCAGCTGTCCTCACCTTTGTTCATGAGCTTGTCCACGAGCCTAACGACGTGGCCCTCTACATCTTCCTTGTCGATGCTTTTAAGGTTCCTGTACTCACGCTGAGTTATCAGCTCATTCTCATCAACTTTGTTGAGGATTAGCATGTAGTCTCCACACAAAGTCTGCACAATGGCTGTCTTATTACGTCTCACCGTGTCTCTGAATGACATGTTGAATCTGAGAAACGGAGACAAAAAGAAGAAACGGTAAAGTACACCAGGAAATACTGGGTTTTGGTTCAGTCAATCTGTGACAGCTGAGATGTTTTTGTAACATATACGGCACATATACATTACAATTAATCATTGTGTACTTCACTCATGAGTGAGATTCATTTCTGAAAACTTACTAAACGCAGCATCAAGCGTTACTCTGTAATAAGTGAGTTTAATGAGTTGGCTTTATAATGTAGCCAAGTAGCTTGGAATTAACGATATATTTTGAAATCATGTAAGATTTGAACCTTACAAGTTGACTGCTGTACTCCGAAACTACAGCACAGCTCCAACAATACAGAGGTCATTACTTTAAGATTTGGTCACTTACAGTCAGGAAGTTGTTTCCTCCGTGTCCTCGTGCCCGTAATAACTGTGCAAGCTGCTTTCGTTATCAAAATTCGGTAGTTATATATCCGTACAAAGCTTGTATCTGAATTTAAAACAGGCGGGCTTTATGCACCATGCACGAGCAATTCGGTTAGAATACTTGCTTACCGCTTCGTGGATAAGGAGCACCTGAGCTGTTATCGACGAGTAACAAGTTGATCAGGGTGTTCCGTTTCCTCAGATTCCCCGCACCCCGCCAAGGTACAAAGGTCTCCTGGGGAAAAGTGATGTATTCAATGTAAGTACACACCCGCTGACACCTCACACTTCAGCACCACAAACACACGTGTCGACAAATGGTGCCAACATTTTGGTTTTTGTGTTGTGTTGTGTTGCCTCCAGCTCTTCCACTCTGCTCCGCTAGCTGAGCCTGTGGAGGAGATCACAAAGGTGGAGGATATGGAGCAAAAGCCTGAAAAGATGTTATAAAAGCAATGTGGGAAGGACACATTCAAACGTTAGAAAAAGAAGGAGCATCTCACTGCCATGCGCCACCAGGCCAGTCCATTTAGCAATAAGTATTAGTGTTTATAAGTATTCTTGCTCTGCGTCGTCCTCGTGTTGTGGATTTTTTGTTTTGTTATTAATTTAAAAAAGGGGAACATGTCCAGTGACAAGTTTTGAAGAAAAATGTTAGTTTTGCCTGAACTTGCTGGTTAGCTGGTTTTGAAACGTAGATCTACAGTGCTTCTATAAATGTGTATACCTTTTGGGGTGTGAAATAAAGTTGAGTGATATACTGAAATATCAAATGCTCATTTAAAGTGAATTCTTTTAGTCAATCTTTATTTATATGCACGGCGGTCCAATGAGAGCCTTTCACTCTCTTCATGGGAGCCGACACAGGACAATAATGGCAAAAAGGAAAAACATTTAGACAAACATGTAACAATTTCACAAATGCAAAAGTGTGAAGATAACATTGTTACATGTTTTTTTTTTAGAAAAGAGTTTCAAACCACCATCAAACAAAATGTGAACACAACAATATTAAAGTTTGACATTTTGGGAAGAACACTTATTCGCATTTTGGAGGACCGTCAGAAAAGAGGATTGATACCACTCTCATATCTGTTAAAGCTAAAGCATCGAGGCGGTCAGCTTAGCTTAGCCCTAGACTTAGACAGTCTGGTTTTGCACTACACTGTGAGCTTTCAAGTGTCTCTTCAGGTGATTGTGGCATGTGTACGTCTTTGCACACATCTGACAAGCGTAGGGTCGCACCCCTGCATGACCCATGGTGTGTTTTTTCAATTCGCTGCCACGTGAAAAACCTTTCCCACACTCACAACAGACGTAAGGACGCTCTCCGGTGTGAACGCGCATGTGAAGTGTCAATTTGCTCGCCATGGTGAATCCCCTCCCGCACACAACGCACTTGTACGGCCTTTCCCCCGTGTGAGTGCGCCTGTGTATCTGCAGCTCGCCGGCGGAAACGAAAGCCTTGCCGCAGTCCGAGCACAGATACGGTTTCTCCCCGGTGTGGATCCTTATGTGGACGTTCAGGTTTCCCGACACGGAGAAACGCTTCCCACAGTACGTGCACTGAAACGGCCTCTCGCCCGTGTGACTGCGCATGTGGAGACTCAGGTCATGTTTGTTCTTGAAGACTTTGCCGCAGTGCGCACAAACCTGCGTTTTCTGCTGCCTGTGGCGCAGCTCGTGGGCTGTCAAACAGGCAGCAGAGCGGAAACACTTCCCGCACTGCGTGCACTGATTGGACAGCTCGGGAGGATGAATCTTCTGGTGGGATCTCAGCTCACTCATACTGGGGCACACTTTCCCACACTGTCTGCACGTGAAGATACGGCTCTGGCTGTGAGTCAGCTCGTGCTTACCCAGCAAGTGCATCGTCTTAAAGCTTTTTCCGCACTGAGAACAGTCAAACTTTAGGACACCACCAACACACCGGTGTCTGCATTTGTCCTGCGCTGATTGAAAGCTATTCCCGCATTTGATGCAAATATAAGCCGCTTTTGTGCACTGTGTCCGCCTGTGAGAGGACAGGTCAGAGGTCCTCCTAAAGGCTTTTCCGCACTGAGAGCACTTGAAAGGGTTTTCTCCAGTGTGCAGCCTCTGATGGTCCAGGAGTTCGTAGCGGTAAATGAAGCACTTTCCACACTGAGCGCATTTCTGCGCAATTCTCCGCCGTGGACGGCCAATCCCAGAGCTGGACGATACAAGACTCTCAGTGGATGTAGATGGAGCTCGGTGGGTGTCTGACGCCCCGTCATCACACTCCTCCGCAACACGAACATCAGGAATTCTGTCATTGCATTTCCCTCCGCTTGTTTGTTCTGCATTACTGCCGTACCGAGTGTTTGTTTCCTCCTCGGGTGGCCATCTTGCATCGTGTATCCCCACATCTCCTGCGTCCTGGGGAGGAATCCCATCAGATTCTCTTTGGTTCTGAAATGTTTGTGCGCTAGATTCTGCATCTTCAGCAGTGGTCTCTTGCAGTGAAGGAGGGAGAGATAATGATGAGAAGAGTCGCTGCTCCGAGGGAGAGGGCACTGTTTGAAAAGAGAAATTTAAAAAGTGGGAGATTCATTCATTTACTTTTGGTACAAATTGAGGGCGTTACTTTTCAAATTGTCTGAAATATATCTGCAAAATTATTGTCACATTCAATTAATCCGTTGATTGTCTTTTTCAATTAAAGCTACTACGAGGAACTTTCATTTTGTGTGGATTTTAGCGGTCTCCGTGGTAGTGTTTCCGAGCACCAGATTCCCAGTTTAGAAAACCTCTTATTTTACTGCAGCAGGGTCTTTGACAGTCTGCTCTGTCCTGGTTTTGTTCTTGGGCTCTCCTGGGCCGCCCCTGCCTTCAGCGGGCCTTAGCCATACAGCACGGGCCTCCAGCAGGTGGCGGTGTTGGCGCCCAGCGAGACAAAGCTCTGCTATTGGCCAGAGGAGGGGACGCTGCCAGGCGTGGAGCCCTCCCTCTCCCACTTTCATAACCAGTTAAAAGTTCCTCACAGTAACTTTAATTGTTAAACCATTTTGTCGACAAATGTCAGTAAATGGAGAACAATGTCAATAACAATGATGAATGGATCATCAGTTAATTGACACTAATATCACTAATATGCACATTAAACCCCTGGCTGGTATCCCAGGCACACTGACTTACCACCGGTATCCATCTCGGCCATTTTACCACAGCGGGCCTTGCTTCTGAGCAGTACTTTAAGGTCATCTTCTTTGGATACACACTGCATGAACTCTTCTAGCACAGAGGGTGTATCACTCATCCACACTGCAGTCTTTATCAAACAAATAAAAGTATCATTTTTGATGGACTGGAAACAAACAATCAATCTCTGGAAATGCTTTGTAAACTGAAATTTCTATGGTGTAAGGTTTTACCTGCTTAAAGTCTGGTATAAGCAGCAACTCCTCCAGTCTGGTGAAGAACTCACAAACCAGTGTCTCCAGAGCCGTATCAAAGTCATGCCCAAACTCCACAGGAAACACATTCTGTGTGGTGGAACATTTCAACCCAAACCTCGTTGTTACTGCATCATTGAACAAATTGCTCCGTTTAATGTCCAAACTGAAAATGAGGTGAAAGCAGAGACGCACCTTGAGGAAGTGCTCTCTCTCTTTCGGGTCCTCCAGGAGTCTTTGAACAAGCCTGACGAAGTCGGCTTCAAGAGCTTCATTTCCTGGATGAACCTGTCAAGAAAAAATACACACGCCTAAATATATAAACAGAACGCTTTTCAAACAGACAGAAATGTCCACGATTTAAAAATAAAATAAAAATCACACACCTGTTTTGCGCTCGACGGCAGGTGGCTGTTCAAGAGTGTTTCAACACTTCTGAGATCCTCTGACTGTTCAGAACGTAACATCTGTAACATCATCTGGAAAAGCCATCAAGCAGGAGTGACATATTTGAAATGATATGTAGATGCTCCATCATCTTTGCTTTTAATGTTTGAAAGTGCAGAAAGTTCTATAATATAATCCTTGTGAAAATTAAATATATGGTTCGTCTCTACCTCTCACCTTTGCTCTTAAACCCAGAGTGAGCAATCTCATCTGTCTGTCAGTCAAGATGTCAGGGATCGCTTCAGTTACCATGGACACAAACTCCTCCACCATCCCATAATGCGTGATGCTCCTCAGACGAACCACCTTCCACATCGCCGCCGTCATCACCCTCAGAGGTGGGAGCAGGAGCCTCAGCGAGGACAGGGGCAGGGGGCCCTCTGCAAGGGGGAGCAGGTGACTGTAGCATTAATTATTCATGCTTAAGAATATTGCACTTAAAGTACGCGGGCACACCAGAAACATAAATCATCTACAGCATGATGAACAGTCTCACGAGTGTTGGCAGAGAAGAAGTGATGAAAACACAGGCTCTTTACAGCAGACAGGTCATACAATCACACTTAAAACACACAAACAAAGTGGCCTGTTCATCTTTTTGCACACACTTACTGTATGATCAGGCAGCAGTCATACAAACAACACAGGATGCTACAACAATAGCAGATATGCAGCGTTAGTATAGAATGTGACAGTTTTCTTAGCCTGTTGATTTTCCTTAGTTAACAAAATCTAAAGAAAAAACGAGGTTCAGTTAGATATAGCCCTTAAAATAAAGAGTAACGTTATCATTTAGGTTAATTCATTTTCTTCTTGTATTTGGGTTGCCCATTGTTAGCATTTTGAGTATCCCAGTTTGATAATAGATCAAACACTGTCAGCCCACTTGTGTATTATAAATAGTTATGGTATGATGGGCTATAGGTGCACAACAAAAACAGTTTCTCAACAAATAGAAAACTTTAAACGTTATCTTATATTCATTCTTCTCTTCGTCATATGCCCCAAATTAAATAAATATAGTGCAAACTGCGATTACATCTGAGTATGAATTTATTAGTTTAATAAGTCAAAGCTAGGAAGTTGCTGTTAGCAGGCAAGCTAACAACATCAAAACAAACGGACATGACCCCAGAAAAATACAAAACGTTACCCATTTCATTCCTCCGAAGAGCTCAGGCAGTTGAGATACACTGAGGAATGTTTTCAGAATCTTTCTCCTGCAGTGACTAGCTGGGGAAATGAGTTTTTAGCTAATCCAGCACCTCGCTGCAGCGAAACACCACTTCTTGACTTTACTTCTTCGTGTTCTATATTTCGGTAGACAACTCGACATCCGGTCTCTTCACCGCCACCAATCGTCTGCAACTTACATTTCCGGCAACCATCAGCTGTAACATAACATTTCATAATTTCTTTCCAAATCTGCCTCAAATTAACTAATTATCTTCTTATCACCACATACAAGTAACACAGTCAACATGTAAAGTAACAAATAAAAATACAAAGCTCTCCAGTTATTTGTAAGTATTTCATGTCGTTGGCCTCCAACAGTCTTTTGTCTCACTCCAGCTTTACACACAGCCAGAGTATCTCTTGTGTAGATGCATAAATCCCCTGATGGTGGCGGTGAAGGCTTTCTAAAAGAGAGGGCCCAGTAGTTATTCATCAGAAAGAGAGGAACCAAAGTAATTAGATAGTGCCTCATCAGACCATCTGGGCAGTGTCAGCCACCATGACACCAAGTAAATCCCCGCAGTGCATGTTGACTGACAGAAGGGCCCTTGTGTACTTAAAAAGGCTATTTCCTCTACTCTTCTTTTTTTCGGATTCTCAGCCCTTTTGGTGAGGCCAACCTCGATTTTTACTCGATTTTCACCACCAACAGTCAAACAGCAGCACAGGGCTGATAAAATTGCAAATACATATACCAGCTAATGCGCAAGCTAAGCGTAATGTTGAATTGGAATTTTAGTAAAAGTAGCCAATAAACCTGATATAGTCTCCTAACCACTGGAACGCAATTTTGAATGTATTGCATTCCATCACAAGAAGACACAAGATCATAAAAGGTGATGAAATCAGATTTTAATTAAATCAATATTAATTTTTGTTTGGTGTGTTTGCGTTCTTTTTTTTGCCATAAATAGGCTTCCAAAAAAACACTACAACAAATGGCAAAAACTAGTCAAAGATTACTAAAAAAACACAATGAGTCCATCTTCCCCTAAAACAATGCAAACTGATTTTGCATTAACTGGTATATTTTCTTGCTAAATTAAGTGTTCAAATAAAATAATCCCAATTTAAAGACACAGAGATTATGTTGAAAAAGAAGAATTACATTCCCATTGACCTATTTGACCTATTTGACTGATGATGACTCGACTCGAATGTGACACACGACCTTCGCTTTTACTAAACGTTATTTGAATAAATGGCACACACAGAACACGCAATTCATCAAATGTCTTTGCATTAGATTTAGCATGTCCACATTATATGTAGACGATTTGTAATGCATTACATTGACATTGCTGTGTTTTCACTGTGTACTGGTGCATTTTGTAATTAGACATAGTGCATTTTTAATCTTTTAAAAAATGTTTGCTCTCTCTGATGAGGCTTTAATCTCCGCCACATGTCCAAACGCTTAAAAATCAGATCAATTACCAAGTCACATTCAGTCAAGTCACATTTTTCTGGCACTTCTCGCACGAACCCAAATTAAATTCAAAGTAAGCATCTGTCTATTATGGGGATGGATGGCAGAAGTATAGTCGTGTGTGTGTGTGTGTGTGTGTGTGTGTGGTAGTCGTGTTAATGCATGTATGTCCATGTGTACTGTATGTCTGTGTGTGTTTGACAGAGAGAGAGAGAGAAAAGAGCGAGTCTGTGCATATGTGTGTCTGTGCGTGTGTAATTAAAACAAGTGATTTTTTTTTTTCTACACACAGATTATCCCTCTATCCCAGCTGGTCAGAGTTGGATTTGACCACCCCGACAACCAGAGAGAGGAAATCTCTTTGGGGCTAAATCCAAATTGGCACCCTTGATGATGTTTTTTTTTCCAAACTGAAAATGTGGGAGCGCTCGATTATCGACTTTAAATCAGAACACAACAAAAAATGTTTTGGGTAATACAATGCCCTGATTCTCCCTAAGAGACAGACATTACACACAAATGCCAAAATGGCTGAGCACTGTTTATTATTGTTGTTTTTTTGTAGATTTTTTGGAGGTTAATCATGCAGCAGCACTAATGTGTGATACGTCTTTGCGTGTAAGCCTCGACTCTGTAACGTGTCAATCAGCACAGATTGTTCCAGCTACATTGATGTACTGCATTTGCGGAGGCGTTATAGAAAAATGCAAGCCTTAAAAACACTCATAGAGACACACAGCCATGGAGCTGCAGAGGTTTGTGCACATCTGTCCTGTTTTTTTTTTTTATACACATGGACTCAGAGAGAGAGACTTAACAGTGACTGCCTTGTAATGAGGTCAAATCAGCTAACTGGTTCCTCATGTCAAAATGGAGAGACACTGCACAGTTGTGCATCTTACTGTAAAGTATATTCACATCCATCTCTATAAATGTTCAAATAAGTTAATGGCAAAGTGTTAACGGTTATAAAGCCTCGCTAAATTATTTCAAAATAATCCAAAACATTTGTCATCCAACTATTTGAACTGTACTAAGAGTTGGAAAACCCACAAATATGGAAAAGAGTTTTATTACCATTTCATAAAACAATCCATGAAACGATCAACCTAAATGCAATACAGACAATCAGGTCCTTAAGGAAAGTCTTTTATATAAAAATGAACACAGTATATTTATATAATTTGATCATATCTTGTTATGGCTGTCATGAGAGTCACTGAAATTGTCTTTCAATATAAATACATTACAAAAAATATGTAAAAATAATTAGCTTCACATATATTTCACAGCCTCAAAGTACTTTACACAGTTGATTACAAAATGAGCTTTCAGTGCATTCATGCTCTTCCAATCCACATCCATCAGATCAAATTAAATGGCCTAAAGAGATTCAGTGTGCAGACAACAGTCAAAATCAGGCACATAATTCAGGGATTATTAGTACACACTGCTCTTCTTTATAACCGGTACAAGTTAAACTTGAAATGTGCTATGTTTGACAAATTAATTAGAAATTGTAGCTGTTCACATAATAACCATCTCAGCATATTTCTTCATATTAGTAGTAGTACATATTGGACAATACGATTGCAAGAAATTGTGAATTTCCTCATGTCATGACCTGAATTCACTTGATACTATTTTAACCAGGGGCCATATTTTCATCATCACATACAGTATGGAGCACCTTCATTCGATCAAATGAATAATTTCATTGATCACACAACTCATTAATAAATAAATAAATTCCAAACATTAGAAATTATTATCCATTCATAATGCTGACTTACGAATAGTTATGCGTTTTGCCTTAAATTTCAAAATGTCGGAAAAAGTTATGAGCAAATGTTAGCTTTGGTTAAAGTCATATTAGTAATACCTGAATAAGCAGCTACAGTCATGAATGCGAATCCAAAACAACAGCAGTTTAGTGGCTTACTGTGAGATGTTCGGTGGGAATTGTGCGCTGTTCGATATTCTTAATCTGTTTTCAGATAGCCGGTCTGTTGGTTTGTTTTCTGCGTGACTACATTTTGCTGGTGAAGCGAAGCGTTTCAAAATCTCAGAGCACTTGTACAGCGGAATTTGCAGCAGCAGCCAAACAGCTGAACATGTGTACAAAGTAACTTGTGTTTGTAGAAAATGTGACAAAGCGGCATTTTCTCAATATATTTTTTTGAGACATAGTTTTTTTTTTAGAAACACAAGTTCGTAATTACAGCGGCTTGAATCTGTTCTTACAAAGTATCAAATGCTGTTTTCTGTAAGAAATGTTGCTAATGCTAGTTAGCTACTTTAGTTTGTTAGCTACCTTTGCCTATGAAAATAAGGCTTACGTCTGTGTCCCCTTCTGTTGTGTTGATCAAGTAGCTGAAACTAATTGTATCTGTCCCTTTAGTGTCTCTCCCGTCCTTACCCTTGAGGTGATATTTGGCTCCAGATACACATTTCACTTTACAAGTGCTCAGGAGTTTTTGCAACAAAAATAGATCAAAATAAACCTCCAACTGTAATATGATAATTACAGGGAATGTCTGCTAGCTAGCTATTGAGCTAACAACATTTCCAGGGGTGGCAAAATTATGAATTTGGACAAATACCACAGGTCCAAGAAGACGACTTGTGACACTTTGAAAGTGTTAAATATGAATTTCATTTTCAAAACAGTTTCCTCTGTTGAAGGTGATGTTCAGTGTTTATTGATATGAAAAAAAACCGCATATCGTGTGGTGTTTTGAGTAAATATAGTTGACACGTGTGAGCTTACGCGTTATTCATGTTAAATATAGGTATACATTAAAATAGAGTGGATCTTTTTTTTCCTATCTTGGTGTTTTAAATTGCCAAATGTACATTTTTAAGAGAAGATCAACTTCCTCTCATGGAGGTTTTGACTGTGCAACAAAATTGACTTCTGGGTTGTTCAATTTAAACAGAGGCTGAGTTACTTCAAAATATTGCATATTTCCTCGGCATCTGCGAATATATAAAAATGTTTCATCTCTTTGACCATTTTGAGCTATATTCTCTGCTGTAAACAAAAAAGACCAAAACCACACAAACACTCTCCACATAGTCGAGTCTCAAAGGAAAGTTTCCTCGTAGTTCTCACCAGGCTCCCCGAGTTCAGAGTCTCTGGGTATTGATCTGGCGACCTCAGAGAGGTCACTGGCTGCTCTGGTCACGCTGTCATAAGATGGTGGCGAGGACAGTAGAGTGTCTTCTGTTGTCTGTGCAATCTCCACCTCGACAAGTCCATAGTGATGCATCATGGAGGCTATTAGCCCCTCCGTTTCCGGAGCATTCTCCATATCCACCACAGTCTCGTAGTTTATTTGTCTGTAGAGGTACGATGCCTGCTTCAGATGCCGGCGCACCAGGTGCCTCCTGTAACACCTCTGGATGACGATCGCGGACACTTCTTCCAGTTTGCGGCGCAGTGTGGACGTGATGGGCTCGTGGGAAATCTTGGAGGGGTTGGTCACCATGAACTTCTCCTCCATCTGCTGCTTGAGGGCGTCCATCTCACCCGACTCTCCCAGGACGCGCTTTGTGAAGGCAAACAGGATGTCCAGGCAGTGGATCCTATCCCCGCTGACCATGGGAAGGTCCATGGAGATCAGCTTGATCCTGTTGGGCTTGGCTATGCGCAGCGGCTCCGACAAGGTGTCAGCGAAGATTGACAGCATGGAGAACTCGATGAACTGCGTGGCCTCAGAATCAAACTTCTCCCAGACCTCATAAAACATTTCAAAGTCATCCTCGCTCAGCGGCTCTGTGCTCTCCTCAGTGGCAACGCTGAAGTTCTCCAGAATGATAGCTATATACATATTCACCACAATGAGGAAGGAAATGATTATGTAACTGACAAAGAAAGCTATGCCCACTGAGGGGCTGCCACAGTTTCCCCGGGTGTTAGTGCCAGTGTTGACAAAGCGGGGGTCGCACTCCTCTGGGGAGCTGGCCATGATGGGACTCAGGAGGTTGTCCCAACCAGCCGAGGTGCTGATCTGAAAAAGGCAGATCATGCTATTCCCAAAGGTCTCAAAGTTGAACATGTCGTCAAGCCCATCTTGTTTTTTCACGTAGGCAAAGTTCGCCATACCGAAGATCGCATAGATGAACATGACGAGGAAAAGCAGGAGGCCAATGTTGAACAGCGCTGGCATGGACATCATTAAGGCAAACAGTAGAGTCCTTATTCCTTTGGCTGCACGTATAAGTCGAAGTACCCGTCCTATCCTTGCCAGTCTGATGACCCGAAACAGGGTCGGAGAAACAAAGTACTTCTCAATGATGTCGGCAAGAACGATTCCTGTAATGAGACAGAGAGACAAGGCGAGATTAGGATTATCTCATTGCACAAAGATGCACTTAGATATACTTAAAGCTGCACTAATCCAAATGTATATATTAATAGATTAACTATGTGTGACGTGAAAGCAGAAAACTTTCACCCGACAGTGAATGAAAATGCTCTTGATAAACCTACTGTATGCTACCTGTCCAGCACCAAATGGCAAACAAAGTTAGCATCTAGCTGGAGATTAAAAGGACCATTATTAGAGAGCCAGATATTTTCCTTGGCAATTGGTGGAGACCAAAACAGAGCTAAAAGTAGAGTGAATACTGGACTTATATTCATCTGCTGGACAGCGAAGCAACAACAGATACATGTTAGTGTTGCTCCATGTCTACTAGAAGCGTAAATAAGCACCTGTTTGGTAACGTGATAGCCATAATAATTGTACACGGTTATAATGGGTCTGTGCTGTATTTACAGCTTGTTCCACTTCCTCCACGAGGCCCAAAAGAAAATCAGTAAATGCAGCTTCAAGACTTTTAAACATATTGTAATTTATTGAACAGCGACCAGAAGTGAATCTTTTATGACATAAAGTCACAGTAGAGAATACAGCAATTAATATCAAAGGAACGAAGTAGGAAAATAAAGAACTAAGTAGAAAGCATTTGTCAAGGCTGCACACTCATCTATGTCTTTTATTTGATTAATAAGAATGTTTAGAGATTTTATTCTGCACCTTGATTCGGATACATCTGCCAGAAATCTTTCATTGAAGGATGTACAGTAGTCCAAGAGAAAATAGCAAACATAAAAAGTAAAATTGCACAACGTTAAAAATATTCTTCTCCCAAACAACGGATAAACCAATACTACTGAAAAAAATCAACGCCCTTGGCAGAGGCAAAAGTTAATGGTGTACTTCATTTTTGTGTCTCCACTTACCCACAATAGAGAGAATTATCACCACAAAATCAAAGATGTTCCATGCAACTGTGAAGAAATAACAGCGAAGGGCAAAGATCTTGATCAGGCATTCGGTGGTGAAGATCACGATGAAGGCCAGGTTGATCTTGTTGAGGATGGTTTCCTTGCGCTCTGACTGTTCATCGGTTTCCACCATCATGGTCACCATGTTGATGATGATGAGCATCATGATCATGATGTCAAAGGCTTGCTTGGACACGAGATCGAAGAAGAAGGCTTGGAGAACATTCTAGGGATTGGGAAATACAAATGGCTGTTATTAGTACAATATTATGATGAATGTTAGCAGGCAGGAAGATATGAAGGATTGGAGGTTATCAATGCAACATAAAATTAGTAACATTTGACATTATATTATTTTACCGCAGGCCTTGGTATCGGCTTTTGAGGCTTTTTAGATCCCAACTTCTTCATAGCGTTGTAGTACTTCTTCTGCTCTTCAGTCATGAAGATATCCTGCCCACCTAAGTATAGGCAGAAACACCTGACGTTATCTTTACAGAAAATTGTTAAAATAATGTTTGATGATCAACAAAAGGTGGCAAAGGAAGGCTCAGTTAGGAAGTTTACTTCCTAACTGAGCAAGTTAGTATTTGCACGCAATTCTTCATTTTTACTTTTGCCTGGAGAACAAAATATGTAAAATATTTGAAATCCATGACTGTGTAATTCTTTTTTTTTGCATCTATCTTGTGAAGGTACAGAGTTGATTGCAAACACCAAGTGGTACGGGCCGTCAGTGTTTCCAATACTCATCTTTCTTTTTTGCTGATTGAAATTGTCAATAATGACACCGATGAAGAGATTGAGGGTGAAGAAGGAACCGAATATGATGAAGACGACAAAGTAGAGGTACATGTAGAGGTTGATTTCTCTGATGGGTTGTTCCTCCACCTGAAACCAAACAGTCCAATAAGTCAGCTGGTTACTGTAGCATTGTTACGATGTAGGCCCTGGAAGTATATAGACATACTTACTCCTCTTGAGTCAACAGCTGCGTGCATTATTTCCATCCATCCTTTAAATGTAGCCTGTAATACAATATTACCCAGCATTACTGTCAAGGCACTGCATTGCATTGTGAATCACTGACTTTATCTATTGAAAACACATATTAAAAATTACCCTAACTAATGTTATGATCACATAAATTCTTCATAAACTGAAGGCGTGTTTAAAAGATTTGACAAACTTTTAAACAGCGCAGCAAAAAAAAAGAAACAACACTCACCACTTGCAGAAGGGAAAGGTAGCCAAGTCCCACGTTGTCGAAGTTGACCTTCACCTTTGTCCAGTAGAACTGAGTGGCATTCATAGAGAGGCACTCTGACTTGTTGTTGACTATGGAGACACTGTGGATGAAGCCGGTTTTGTTCACGCACTTCCCGAACTTGCCAGCAAACAGGTTGACCCCCATGATGCTGAAGATGAGCCAGAAGATGAGACACACGAGCAGCACATTCATGATGGAAGGGATGGCTCCTATGAGAGCGTTCACAACCACCTGATGAGCAACAGGTCAGATACAGGTTAGTATCACAGTAACAAGGTTCTCCATGAGTCTGGTTACACATCTCTGAACCACTGCCCACATTCTTTATTCAGCTAATGATCCGATAGTTGACTAACTCATCCGAATGCATTGCCAAGTAGGTTTTCACATACATTGCCTGTTTAGTGCATGGTAAGAGAAAATAATAGATAATAGCAAGTATTGCAATAGTCAAGAAACATACGTAAAATAGAGAATATGAAAAATATAAAATACAAACAATATATCTATTTTAAAAATGAATGAAATAATAATTTAGCTACGCAGATTCAACTTTGAACCAATCGGGCAACAGATGTTTTAAACATCAACGCATGTTTGTATACGAAATCTCAAATAAAGAAATCTTCTATATTTTAAGGGTGACTCTATTAAGTGGAAATATGCCCTTATGATTTGCAGTTGAGCATCTCTGTAAAATTCATACTTATGACGAAAGAAGACAAATAGTCTACAGACATGCCAGCAGCCTTGTGACGATGTACTTATGCTCAGCCATGCTTTGAGCTAAATGCTAACGTTAGCATGTTAACAATGACAACAGTTCAGTGTGTTAGCATGCTAACATTTAGCGGGAAACACGAAGCCCTGCTGAGTCGCATGGGAATATCATTAGTTTTGGAATACTTTGTTTGCAAACTAAAGGCATTTGGTTGAGACACTTCACTCAAAACCCTAAATGTGAATCTAGTGGCGGTGCGAGAGGAAAAGCCAGGGGATCACCAAAGTCATTAGAATTACTCCTCTGGGCACCACGACCAAATTGGTGGACCAACCAACGGACTGAATAAGCGACTACCCTTGCCAGTCAGGCTGCTAACATGGCTAAAAACTATCTTCAAACAGTCCCATGTCCTTGGTTTGAACTTAATGTCACTTGCACATGCAATGGAAATCTTTTTATTATAACTTGTTAGTCCACTTGTTAGACAGAATGATGAACAAACTGGGGTAAAAACAAACCCTCCTTGGTCTCGGTCATACTCCCGAGATTTATCAGCAAGTTACAAGTCAATAGAAACTCTGTTGAGATGTGACTTCAGTGTAGTTCAGAAAATGCATTTCTCACCCGCATGCCCTCAAATCTGGACAGAGCTCTGAGAGGTCTCAAAGCCCGGAGAGTCCTCAGGGACTTGATCGCAGCAAAGTCGGAATATCCCAGTGAATTTGCAACCAGGCTTATCAAGGACACCTATACAGAGTACAGAAAGACGAGTATAGAATCATGAAAAGGATTCATCTCTTTTTTATAATACAAGCGGAAGAACAAAAACATTGTGAAAAGCACTGAATAAGGCAATATCACATACATAGTCTTATCAACATATTAGTTGGGGAACTGCATATATTTTCTTAGCAATTATATTACTTTTGAAGAAATAATTATAATAAAAGACCATAAAAGTTCAAAACATTAGAAGAGCCATATTTTTAGAGTTTTTTGTGTATTTTGGGACATTCCACAGTTGGGAACACTATTACTTAATTTTTGAGGTTTAGATTTGGTTTGGTTTTTGGTTAATCTTTTAGCAAATTTAGACTTCCACTCTATTCTACATCCAAAACGGACAGAACTAAATGGTATTCCGCTGTTGAATGACCCATGGATGACAGCCATGAATGGAAATGGCATGGTGTAAATGAAAGAAGTTTATGTCATGATTGATGATGACAAAACACAGACAAGTATGCACATATGGACGAATAGTGTCCATGAATGCATACTCAGCTATATATGCATATAAAATATCCATATATATCAAATAGAGTGAGTTTTATAAAGAATTTAAATCTATCTTTTCCAAATTTGTTTCCCAATTTGCATCCAATTGAAGTTTATTAAAAACAATTTAGGACTTCTAAGGTCCTAATGGTCTGAATTTCTTTATAAAAGTCTATTTACACATGTGTTTGTCCAATATATCTAAAGAAGATTCTCAAAATGTACTCTTGCGACAATAGAAGTCTTTGGCTCCAAGAAAGTACAGACGGAAAAATACAAAAACACTGTAAAAGAAAACAAGTTGGTAGTTTTCATAGAGAGAAACAAAAGGTAGGTAGTTGCAATTATCAAAAGAATTTGACTTTTCTCCTAAACAGACATAAAACATAACACTCAGCACATGAATTAGACACAACAGTTTAGACATAAGCTCCACCGGTGCATTTATAAATTGACTCAAAAGTCTGTTAAGCAACATTTTCATAGGTTTAATATGCTATTATAATATGTTTTATAATGTATTATAATATAATGTAAAGTACATCTTCTGTAGATAAACCTTAAGTATAAATGACACTGCATTTGTTTTTGATATAAAAGCCAAGGCCCCGAAGTGACTGATTCAAAGAATGACGGCTGAGTAACAGCCTCACATTTTTAGGTCATTTCAAAAGAAGTGCATTTGTTTGGACACAAGACGGTGGCTTTTGATATCTCAACAGAAAGCACTTACGAGTGAAGAAACACAGAAGCATTTGTGAGGCAGATGCACGTTTCCAATCCCAGAGCCCATACTCACCTGGGACCTGCTAACTACAACTTACCCTAACAATAGAGCGGTCTGTGGCAATCTGTGTAACAGCAGGTGAAATCAGAGGAAGTCAAGTCAGGCCTCGGGCAGCACGCCTCGGGCACTTTGGATGACCACTACAGACCCAACAGTTTAAATGTAGTGTAACATGACTCCAATGACTGGAGCACTTCTTTTGATTTGTCTGGCAAAATCCTGGCGTCAAAGCAAATGTAAAATTGTACAATTATTTAGTGTGCGATTTAACTGTATATTTCTGGTTAGTTGATCCAGGTTGTAAAAACAGTTGTCTGGAGTTTGTTTTAAATAGGAGGAGCTGATGGTGGGATTAATAAAGTTGTTTCGATTTTGACGCACAACTTCACTCATGAAGGCGGCCGGTTGTTGTAAAGCATACATGGATGGTCAAGTGCTTTCCTGTAAATAATGTGACACTCACCAAGCTGTAAATCCCACAAACATGACAAGCGACATTTAGCTACAACGAGGGGTTAAACTTCAACCTCAATTCTCAACACGTGACTGCATCCTTTTTATGTGGTGCAAAAAAAGCGCGTGAAATGTTCGCTTACGTCCACGATAAGAAAGTCGAGCCAGCACCAGTAGTTGGTGAAATACTTCTTGAAGCCGTACGCGATCCACTTGAGGAACATCTCCAGCACAAAGATGTAGGAGAAGACCTTGTCGGCATACTCCAACACCACCTTCACGACTTTTCTCTTCTCAATGTAGATATCTTCAAATGCCTGCAACAGGAGAGGGACAGAGGTGTGAGGAAACACGACAACATCACATCACACCACACCACTGCTGTTGGTTTAACATACAAAACAAATAAATTTCAGTTGAACTTTAAGGTTATCATATGAAAACTAGTTGTTTTAAATACAAGAATTTTTCATTACGGTTTGAGAAAACACTTAAACATTGTCATTAAACGTCACTAAAACTAAATAAAGCCATTAAGTTTCAGTACCATGGGGGTGATATTACACTGCAATCAGGCACTAAACAGAACTGGGATCAGACACTGAAGTGAATAAAGCAGAAATCACACTCAAACCTCGAGGACTTTTCTATTACGTGCAGCACATTATTTTAAATTGACATTCAGTAATCTCTATATATTCTCTCTATATAGTTTTCACTTAGTTAGTGGCGGAGTCCGCCATTCACAGTCAGATTTCTACACAGGTATGCTATGCATACATGTAAACCAGTCTCACTGTTTACTGCTCACTCTCTTACAGTTGTATCAGAGCTGTGTTGAGACACTGCAAATGCAAACCCAACATTTCCTGCTGCTGCTACTTCACAATAAAAGCATTGAAGACAACTGTGGTGTGGAAAACTTCTTGTGCTGTGTGCTGCATGAAATCCGATGCCATGGCATGATGGAAAAAGGATGATTTAACTGATTTCATTATTAAAAACAATGACACGTATAAACAATAATAAGAAACAAACCAGGACTTAAACTTAGACATGTTTTTAAAAAGTGTTATAGAAAATAAATTAGCCGTACCAGAGCCCCACTGCTGAGCAGGATCATGAAGATGATGAAAGTCTCAAACCAGCTGTGTTCCACGATCTGGTAGCAGGTCTTCCTCAGCCTCCACCAGGCCTGGCCCAGACCACGGCTTGTATCGATTTCACAGCACTGACAGTGCCTCATGCACACTGAGCGGAAAAGGCAAAAACAAACCAGTGCAGACATGAAGGAATTATGCTGTACAAAGAACTTATAACGTATGAAATGATTGCTTTGACTAATCGTTTGACATGGTTACAACTCTAAATTCTCAATTCTCACATTCTGGGAAGCATTCCTCCGGCTCCATACTCTCTTCAGCCAGCTCTGACAAGTTGTCCACCTCTTCTCCAGGCTTCCTCAGATCCACCGTGCTGCCCTCTGATAGGCTGATTATCTCCTGTGCGGTGAGAAGTCTCACTGTTACCAACCAATTTATTGCTTATACTTTTCATCAAACAGTGTGTGAACCATTACTGAGTTGTCATACACACGTATAGCACAGAATACAGGCGGATGGATATTGCGGTTGTTTTCCATCAGCTGTCAAAGGCTAAACACCAGCTGTGACATCACTGTTTGGGGGTGTGGCCATGTGCGCAATATGCTTATAAATTTCAAACCAAACAGAGCAGCACAGCAGCATTTCTCTGCCCCGTGTTCAGCGTGGATTCATCCCATCAGAGCTAGCTCACCTAGATGTACCGCCTTGCCTTTTTAATCTCCTCTGAGCCTTAATTCAGTTTTGATGAGATTTCCGTGTGTTGTAACAGCAACATATTTAACACAATTTATAGGACAGAGGTGCAGCTTCAATCCTATAAACTGGTACGAAGTCTAATCCAGTATTAAAGAGCATCCGCAGGACCTGGCAACCAGATTACCAGCATTACTAGTGTCAGTGCTCGAAGACAGAGCAGAGAGAATGTGCACTGATGGCATTTTGAGACAATTAGTGCCACATGTACTGTATTCAGTTGTGATACATGCACACATAGATTGATTGGCCTTTGTTCTTTGAAGTGGTCAACTTAAAAATGTGTAAAGTAACACTTTATTCATGACTAACTTCTTAATAAACACAATCTTGCCATTTTTAGTGAGTATTCAAAGTGAAATGTATCCTTCTTTAATAATGCCCAGTTAAGCTGATGGAAGGCTAGTTTTGTTTTTTGTTTTTTAATTTCCATTTTCTCTGGTGAGGTGCGGAGCAGAGCAGGTCAGGGAAATATGAAGAGAGAGTGCCAGACTGCAGCCCGCTCAGCCCGGCCCTGCTCAGCTGTGTCACTTTAATCTGCTCTGCAGGGCCTGGCTCCACATCTGGCCAGCTGCTGTCTGCCTGCCAGAGAGAACAAGACTGGAGCGACACATCCTCCACCTCAACAATCCTCCGGCCCACAGGACAATGAGAGACAGGGGGAATGCAGGTGAAACAGGAAGGGCGAATGAGGCAAGAGGAAGAACCAGGGAGCTTGATAAAGAGATGCTGAGAGAGAGAGATATTTGCTCAACTAATACACATGAAAGTTAGCGTCAGACTCAGGCTAGAGTCAGGCTAGCTGTTTTACTCCGTTTCCAGTCTTTGTGCTAAGCTAAGCTAACTTAATTTTCAGCGTACAGACACGAGTACAGAAATAGTATAGATCTTTACTTCTGGCAAGAAAGCAAATAACCATATCTCCAAAAATGTTGAACTATATCTTTAATTATAGCTTTCTCAGAAAACGGTGCTTGTCGTCTTATAATACAAACAATGCTAATATTACAAGTAATAGTGCTATCATAGCTACCTCAGTCTGACTTGTGACTCTCTGTAGCCTATGCTTGGCATAGTGGTCCCCAAACACTCTTTTGTTACTCTTCCTGCTCTTCTTAAGTCGCGATGAATCACACATCAGGCCTATTAATTAGCATATGGATTTTAGCATAGCTTTGCCCACCTTTAGTCCGAGTACAGGCCTAATCAACCAGAATAAGTGCAAACACCTGTGCGGGTGTCAAGAGTCTTTCAATATTGCTACATCGCTGAGCTAATAGGCCTTTCCCACAGCAGACATTTTGACTTGTCATAGTAGGACAACCACAGGTGTTACTAATAACACCAACGATGGCTCTGCTCAATGTCAAGAACTATAGTTTTTTACCTAAAACTAAGAGTCAAAACAAAAACTGACAGATGAATCCTTTGAAATAGTTTTCTTGGGTACAGAGCCAGTGAACAACCTGCCACTAAAATCATGTCCTGCAGGTTCCATGATCTCCACCATTTAAATTTGCAGAACTACCTTTCTTTTTGACATTTGTCATCTTACACTGTAAATAGGATGACAACAATGTTAATGAAGCCTTAACAACAAGAACAGAAGCACTGTATTTGCATCAAAGTAAAGCTTCAAAATCTACTGTGTTTAGGGTGTGGTAGTAGAAACTCACAGTCCACACAGTACATACTTTTTTTTCTTTTTTTTTAAAGTAAAGTGTATTTTGTTACTAATTGGAAAAGTAGAGACGTTGTTTAGTTTGCTTAGTACACTTTTAGATACTTTTCAGCATAACGGAGCAAGTCAGTCAGCAAGTCAGTCTTCAGCAAGGCAGCTGTACACGCACAAATGTTAAACATGTCTCCTTGCAAGCATTCGATTAAATTTATATGAAGAGCAAACTTCACAATAATAAATGAATAATTAACGAATATTTACTTGGAGCTGTTCCTCCAAGAAAAAGCCTATTTTCCCTACGATTAATACAACATTACTGTACATAAATATTTTCAGGAAACTTCCTGGTAAATTATTAGGAAATTACAGTCCAATAAAATAAAGTGTTAGCCATAATGCTTGCTGTAGTATTGTATGTCTAACAAAATGAAAAATGTAACCCATCAGCATATTTTTATTTGCTAAAATTAGCTAAAATTATTTGAAATCAAAACCACCACAGCCATGGTTAATTTAGTCTCAAGTCAACAATAATCCACATCAAACACAAGGAGAATATACAACACAGAAGTGAGTTAACTTGGATTCTTCTTAGTTTTACAATGTTGTTTTTGATGAGAAATTTGCTTCTGGCTTCACCCAAAGCGTGATGTAACAGCAGTAGTAGCTGATCAGTGTAGCTGATAATTTTTGCACAAAAACTATTTTGGTAGATATACATTTGGTAGATAATACCATCCAAAGACCACCGCAATAGTAAACCAAGAGGGTTCAGGTCTGGCGTAAAACACAGGAGGTGAAAAACCCACCTTGTCTTCTTCCTCTGACGACTCAGAAACCTCCTCCTCCTCCAGAAACTCCACATCCGACTCTCCGGGTGCGATGGGAACGATGACCGTCAAGTTGGGGTTCGTCATGTAGCTGTCCCCCTCTGGTATGATGTACTTTTCGCCATAGCGTCCAAAAATCCCACCATTGCTTTCCACGTGATTCCCAACCAGCTTGGTGGCCTGATTGACCTTCTGCTTCCGACGCTTCAAGCCGCGGTTGAAGAGGTCGGCGATGCACGTGGTGAGCCAGGTGACACCGGAATGGATGCGGGCGATGGCGATCTGGATGTTGTTCAAATCGCCATCTTCTTCTGGGGCAGAGAGGTTGTCGGAGCTGAAGGAGCTGAGCAGCAGGGCCAGAAAAAGATTCAACACCTGTGGACAGATAGGTGTTGTGTCACATTACATATCACAACAATTTTATAACCTCACAGCCATTTAGCCTGAATACGGCAGAAAATGCTGTATTTACATTGTGCTTGTATCAACATTTATCTTTCTTGACAAATCAGAGCGTAGTTTAGCCTGTAAGCTTAAGCATAAGGGTACCTCATGCATGACATGACCTTCTCCCTATTTTGTCAACACTGGCAAATCCTGCATTGTAAATTCAGGAGGATATTCTACACAGATATGCTCAGGCACATATGGTTGCCGTGAGCCACACTGAAATCAAGTTTCCAAGCATCCAACTCCAAGTAATCTGTCTACTAGCTTAGAGAGCAGCCGCATCAAGCACATCTCTGCACAGCAGCATGTGTGTGTGTGTGTGTGTGCATTGCCTCTGTGATGTGCACAGTTGGTAAGGATCATCTTTAGCCACTGAGCCAGTCAGAGATGGGGAGCATGAGCAGATGATTAGTGACGAATGCCCTGCACAGCCTTCTCGCCCCTAAGCATCCTGGATAATCCCTTTTGGATAAACAGCTTTCCCATGATTCATGTGCGGTGAAGGTTCCTGTCCATTAAACTCAATAAGAAGCACCGTCGTGATCTTTGCCCAGACAACAGGGTCACTGAAGGTGCTATGTGCCCTTTAAGTCGTTTCACCACTCATCTTATGTCAGTGCTTCTGAAGGGCCAGAAAGAGTATTTGAAGAGTCAGAAGGTGTGAACTGGTGTGAAACCACCAGCGTAAAGATGACAAATGGTGCTGGAGGTAGAGAAGACATGTAACTTTGCAATTGAATGTTTGCTAAGCTCCGCCTCCTTAGTTACTGTTGCAAGTCAAGCTTTGCATTCTGGCACGGCACAAAAGGCAGCTTACAGAAATATCCAAGGCAGCTTTAATACTCAACATTTTTAGTTATTTTTGAAACACGTCTATAAAAACATGGCTCTTCAAAACTACAAATATGAGTTGGTTGAAAACTCAATCTCCTGCTGACTTTGTAACACTTTCTTGGTTTCGCAACAAAAGTCCCGTCAATCTTCTTAAATGTGGACATGCCGGCTACATAATGAATATTGTGCTTAAAGACTGAGGCTAAAGCTTCATGTCTCAGGCAAAAAGTCAGAATTCCCACAAGCTGATGATCCATGCAGAAGACATGGGGATGAATGAGCAGTATTGTAAGGGCATTGCAGGGTAGAGTAGTGAGCCTTGGTATTATAGTATAGAATTATGACGAGAATTACCGCTCTGTGGTTGTATAACTCCGCCAAACAGTCAAGTTGCAGTTACGTCCATGTCTGTCCAGGACGTCATCACGTCATCATTTTATCCTTTTAGACATTTGTGTGAAATTGTCATAAAAAGCATGTGAATTCTTCACGACAAGGTTTTAAAACAGTTATGCGACAGAACTGAGCTGATTGTAGTGCAGATGACGCTCATATTGCAGTGTATAATACTTTTCTAATTTGTGCTAAGCATGAGATGGAGTATCCAGTAGCTGGTAGCACATTTCTCTCTTGTTTGGACTTCCGTAACACATACAGTATCTCTTGGTAATTCATGTTAGGGTCAGGCCACGTGCCCTTAGTAGAAATAGAATGAAAAGAAATCCTGAAAATGGATCAGGGCAAAACTGTATGATAATAAAAATAAAGTTAAATTAGATTTAACTCGCTCAGGCCGATGTAATCCAGAAACAGAATACAATACAATGTGTGATTTCAAGAATCAACACTAAAATGACACCACATTCGAAGTAAAACTACACTGTCCATGAAAAAAAAACGCTGCCACTGCTGGCTGCCTGCGCTTCCGGGATTTTTCTGTTGTCATTAACGTAAGCTTAGGACACAGCTGGACGACAAATCACCATATGGGCGGACATACAAATATACACATATCCTTGCTATGGCACAGAGTAACAGCAGTTGTGTACAAACAGAGCTGTTTATGCAGATTAACTACTTTTTTACGTAAACAGTCGCATGCTACGATGTACACGCCGTGTAGCATCCTGTGTGGAACTCAATACCTGCTGCAAAGGCTGGAACGACAGCGAGAACACTGTGGCCTTGGCTAATCCTTTGTACAGTACTTAGGTCACTAGGTTTCTCCCATAAGGCTTAGTTCATTAGCAGCGGATAAAACATTCAGCCCCGTTGGTCATGAGGCTGCGGTAAAGCCGCTCCTCGCGTCCAAACCGTTGTGGCTACACAGAAATCTGAGCTGGCAAAACATATAGCGACGGGGCATCAACAACTGATTGAGGATGTCAATCGAGTATGGAATTGAGTATGGAATCACCAACCCTCATTGGTGCAACAACACAATCCCTGATCAGTAATGACATTATCACTTGGTTTACAGTTGGTTGTATTGACGTGCAATAGAATTTCTCTCGAAGTAGACTCCCTGCTACCTTAAAGTATATGTGCTAGGACTAAGTATTGTTTTTTAGTATCGACTGAAGATAAATTACAATGTCCGTGTTCGTCTTAATGACGGAACATATCACGCAGTGCAACAGAGTAGCTCACTGATAAATAGACAATAATGGAGGTTTACAGTCAATACTTGTTGGTGTAAAATAAGATTTATTTTTGTGACGATTTATTTTGTAGATCACCTGCAGGGAGTATTGAGAGAATTTATATAATATTAGTAAATCTTCACAATTCAATGGTTTTGGTCATGGGCTTTTTTGAAAAAGACTTCTAAAACACGTAAAAATGAAATACTCACCACCAAGTTCCCAATAACCATGACCAACATGAACACCAGGATACAGAGGGGTTGCCCGGCCACTTCCATACAATCCCACATGGTCTCTATCCATTCGCCGCACAGCACCCGGAACACGATCAGGAAGGAGTGGAAGAAGTCCTTCATGTGCCAGCGAGGCAGCTGGCAGTTGATGGAGATCTTACACACACAGTCCTGGTAGTTCTTCCCGAACAGTTGCATGCCCACCACAGCGAAGATGAACACGATGATGGCCAACACCAGCGTCAGGTTTCCCAGGGCGCCCACCGAGTTGCCGATGATCTTGATGAGAGTGTTGAGAGTGGGCCAGGATTTTGCCAGCTTGAAGACGCGTAACTGATGAAGAGAACAAAGTGGAGAAAACAAATGATGCTGCATCTTTACAAGAAGCTGTGTGTTTGAGTTTTATGTTTGAAGATGATCTAAAAGAATTGAGTCCTTTGTCAATCACCTTTGATTTGTTAAATATATAAAATATACAACAATAGAAAGGCAAACAATGGCAAATGACGAATAGTGAAAAAGCTAGATAAAAAAAAAAGAAGACAGAGTTGAAGATTTCTGTTACCAGTCTGAAAGATCGCAGGACAGACAGCCCCTCTACATTGGAAAGACCCAACTCCATCAGACTGAGGCAAACAATGATGCCGTCAAAGATGTTCCAGCCCTGCTGGAAGTAGTAGTAGGGGTCCATGGCGATCAGCTTCAGCACCATCTCAGCTGTAAAGATTCCTGTGAAAACCTAGAACAGATACAGAGGGACATAAAAACAATAAGAGGTGGAAAAAAATCAAAAAATGTCCTTTTCAAGTGGAATATTACTTAGTGTATTTCTTTACTAAAAGCTGCACTAGTTCATATTTGTATATTAACAATGGTTCAAATGGATTATGAGTAATGTGACAGGTGTCGCTTGTGACCCACTGATAATTACTACCCGACTGTAGATCCCTCAGTGTGCGTTTTAGTGTATTTTAGCTCATAGTTTTGGTTTTATGGTCCGCGGAGATACAGTACTGTTTGGTTCAGTTTCACCGCTCGAATCAACCTTGTTTCTAGCCGCAGGCAGTGGTTTTCAGCAGAAAATGCTCTGATAAACCCACCGTACACTTATGGCCCAGCATCAAACAGCAGATAGACAAAGTGACCGACTAGCTGGTGAACATAGTGGTGCATTTATCAGCTTAAGAGACAGACATTTCCCTCGTGAGTTGGTGGAGACCAAAACAGAGCAAGAAGCGGAGTGAATATTAGACTTACACTCATCAGGTGAACTCAAACACGACTCCAAATGAATGCTAATGTTGCTCTGTATTTGCTGGATGTATAAATACATAACATAACATAACAGCTTCATAAGGTGAAATGTCAATGATGTGTTTACAGTTTTTCTGCTACATCGAAGTGACCAAAAAATATGAAATAACACAGCTTGTTTAAGTTGAGGTTTAGAGCTCTGAGGAAAAGGTCAAAGTGAAAAAAAACAAAAAGTACTAGAATGGATACTCTGCAATGTACCAGTTTTAGGACCCAGACATATATCACGTTTAAGAGAAAATATCGAGAATATTTGGAAATGTCCTTCACTTGTTGTTATTCAGCCCACGGTGTAAGCCCAAATTTCACAGAAATAATATTTCTATTTTTGAGATATTCCACTAACTAAAAGACAAAGAAATAGGACCAAAACATAAGCAGTGATGGCAACAAATAAGAACGTATTACTTCCATTTATCTTCTTTTAAGTATGTTTTCAAATTAGAAGACATTAGCAGAGTCTATAATTTACCAGTAGGGGAGATGGCAAAATAGAAATTGGGGAATCAATCCCACTCCCTCCTAAAAATACTCCCTCTTACCAAGGACAATCGCAAAATAGTCTAAAGCACAACGCTTGATAAAGGATCAACACGGCCTTATTTGACCTTAAGTGCAGCAAAACACTGGCTATAAAAAACCCAACTGTCTGATAAAGAAAGACATTATCTGAATGAATGCTGTCGCCTTTCCTCTTCACTTTTTTTTCCTGGTGAAGCTTTCAGTCCTCTCCGCTGCCAACCCAGCAGCACTTAGGAGAAAGTGTCTCACACGCTGGCAACCTGCCCGCCCCTATCTTTAAAAGCCCCTTACCAGATTGCCCACTGAAAGCATCGTGTTGAACTCATCAGTCATGGGATAGTGCTCCAGGGCCATGAAGAGGGTGTTCAGCACAATGCATATGGTGATACCCAGATCCAGGAAAGGGTCCATCACCATGAACTTCACCCAGTCCTTCAACTTCAGCCACCAGGGGCAACAGTCCCATATCAGGTACTTCTTGGCGAATGTGTACCAGCAGGGATGGCACTTCTGCCTCGACACCTCTAGCTCTGCAAAGAGACATCAAGGTGAACTATTCATCTCCAGGCCTCTCCCTAAATCCCCTCTTAAAAAAGTAAATATGATGCTACAGTTAACAGCAGATTAGCTTAGTTTAGCAAAAAGGCTGGAAACTGAGGCAAACAGCTCTGTCCAAAGGTAATACAATCCACCAACCACTGAAAGTTCACTAACTAACACAGTACATCTGTTAAATCCGTGCTAAAACAGTACAAAAACAGCTAGGGGTTATGGTAACGACAAATCAAGATTAAGCCTGTTAATCAATTAGATTTAGAGGTGGATTTTGTTGCCTTCAGACAGAGCGAGGCTAGCTGTTTCCCCCCATTTCCAGTCTTTGTGCTAAGCTAAGCTAACCAGCTGCTGGTTAGAGCTTCAAGCGTACAAACATAGAGCGGTATTGACCGTCTCTTCTAATTTTCAACAAGAATAGCAAATAAGGGCATTTTCCCAAAATGTCAAACTATTCTTTAGTTACTCAAAAGGACTCACCCCCCATGGCATCGCTGAAGAAGCTGACAGAGCTCAGCCCTCTTTTCCTTTGTACTGGAAGGGGCTCAGTCACTGTTGGGGAGGGCTGGAGGAAAAGTCTGGTGACTGTGTCCTCCACACTGGTGAGCTTTGGGACAGAAAACACCCCAAAATAAAATGCTTTGTTTCTTTTTCACTGCAGGATTTTCTAACTACACACAGGCTTCTGTCACTCACTGTGTCTTCCCTGACCCTCTCCATGCTGTAAGCAGGCATGGAGGTGGGAGTGTGTAGGCCCAGAGTGGTGACTCCATTCTGATCAATGGAGATGTTGAGCCGGCCATTGATGTTGAGGCTGGGGGTGAAGATTTGAGAGCAGTGGCTCCGCACACTGCCCGTCCTCTTCTTCCAGGCCGTTGTTGTTGAACTGGTGCGACTCCTGAAGGCGTCCCCATGCGTGCTGTACTCGTCGTCCCCAAAGTCAGCCTCTGAGTTGTTGCGCGGCCGGAAAGCGCTGAAGACGCTGACCTGGCTTCCCCTCCTGGTGCTGAGGGGGTGAGAGGAGAGCGTGGCCAGCAGAGGGTGGACCGGAAGGGGAGACAGAGATGGCTACAGAAACACAGAGGACACATTAGTTCCAATGGCTTTTCATAAGAACATCAAAGACTGGGAGAAATGTTTAGAGCGTGAGTGTTGGATGACATACCATTGGCTCATCCAGTGGGTCAAACTTCTCTTCAGCAGCTTCCTCTGCTGTTTCCTCCGACAACGCCTGATGCGATCTTCTTCTCCGGCTGCTGCTTCGGCGTATGCTGCCCATCTTCAGACAGAATGGAGACAACTCTGGGGACAACACTGAGTCTGTATCCTGTGCTTGTTGTCTTTTTGCTGCCAACTTCACACAGAAAGGAGTTATGTTACTGGAGACCATTGATTTTTTTCGTCCTAAATTCGAAGCACACATATGAATATGAAAATCCTCGCTGACTGTTCGCATTGAACCTACTCTTTGTTCTCTGCGAAGGTGCTCCATGGCCAGCTGAAACTCCCTCTCCTTCTGCCAGGCCTCAGCGATGGTTGCCTGATTCTGCTCCTCATAGGCCATGGCCACTACAGCCAGGATGAGGTTGACCAGGTAGAAGGAGCCCAGGAAGATTACCAGCACAAAGAAAATCATGTAGGTCTTCCCTGCTGAGCGCAGTGTCTGAGGGAGCAGACATGAAGTCAGTACAATCAAATCCACATGTTAAAGGAAAATCCTGAGTCCTTTTTTTCTTAGTTTCGGCATAATGTTTGCTTATGGACAACATTTCACCGAATAATTTCATTGCTGACATTTGAGGACTCACTCATTCTTATATCTATAATAATATTATAACGCAGTATTTTTATTATGCATCATAGACATGGGCGTCAAAGAGAGTGTTAACCAATGTTTATTTAATCATCATTATTTGACATTTGATTGAGCAAAACTATTGTATTCTACTGTATGTATGTATGTTTATGTGGATCAAAATATATTTAAAATTCACCACAAACCAACACAGAATATTGGTAGATTCAAAAATGGCACCTGGTGAAACAGTTTCTCCCAGTAGTCTTGTGTCATGAGTCGGAAGAGGGCCAGAAAAGCCCAGCCGAAGGTATCAAAACTGGTGTAGCCATAGTTTGGATTCCTCCCTACTTTTAGGCAGTCAAATCCATCTGGACACTTCCTGTAATGCACAAACAGTTTAAAGGCAAAAGACAGACGATTATGGGACAACACTAATAAACAAAGGCGGTGCACAATCCAACCAGTGGCAGCTGGGGCAGACCCAGCTGTGGTAGCGTGCAGGCCGCTTTACCAGAGTTAAAAACATCTCCAGTATCTGCGTACATGTAGCCCGGTGGCCTTTGATTCCGCAGGGGAGAGAAGCGGATGAGTCAGTAAGTACACACACTGCTATCAACACCATTATTTTCAACTGAAGAGGGCACTTGAAATTCGCTCCAGGCAGCAGCACTAAAATGCGCCGCAGCAAAAAGGGATTATGCTGAGCCAGATGGATGTCAAGTTGCAGTTCAAAAAATGTTTCCATGCATTCATCTCTGATCTTCATTGTCAGGTAGCATAGTGGCATTACAGCAAATATTTAAGTCCAGCAGCTGAAAACAAGCTGGACTGCCATTTCAATCTGAGTGCAGAATAATTTCGTAATGGCTGGGAAACAGCTGGGCGGCAGAGCGCTGCTGTGACAACAGCTGTAGATCTCACCAACCAGCCAGCTAAGTAGGAATGCTCACTAATATCCAGCAGTGAGGACAGAGGAGGCCGCGTGAGGCCAGCGACATCTTCCTGTCGGGCCGTTCCTTCCCCTCTGCTGCGCTGCTCAACCTGTGACCAACCTGCTCACCTCTTTTACTCAATATGGTTTTGCATATTTCAGTCCATTAACTAGATCCTGTTGTTTCGTGAATAAAATGACTGTTGACCGTTTTTCAAAGCATATCGTGTTGTTTTTAGTTTGATGTCCTACCTTCTAGTAATAGTTTTTTTGATATTCATTCCAAAGTAGCGCGCAAGAATAATAATACTAAATGTAGTCTTTTTTAGATATGAGATCATGAGTTGATTAATTGAAGAATATTAATGAACATCTATTTTCACAAACGATAATTAATGTCAGTAATTTCAAGCAAAAGGGACAAACTGTTTGCTGCTTTTGTTATCTGTAAATTGGAAAAACAATTAAATGGAATGTTGTCTGTCAGCATTTTTGGGCATTTCATAGATACACTTTCAATTTTGAAACTGGAATTTATTTATTTTAACTATATTTACTGTAATGTAATCAATGGAAGACAATGGCTGCATGGAAAGTATGAAATCAGTCAGAATTTGATTCAGTCAAAATAATAGTGAAAGCATTCAAAACTTCCACTTTAATCAGTATTCTATTTGTTCAGAATGTTTTATTGGATTTAAATTTCTCAATAAAAACCAGCATTTCTCTAGCTTATCTTATTAACCACACTGCTAGCCAATGCTGTCCCTTAAACAACTGCATGAATGTGAGACTTCTCTTGCAATTTGATGCTGCTGTAAAAAACAAGGCTTCTGTCAGGCTAATGTTCCTGATGTTTCTATACTAACTGCCCTGGAGACTGACTCTTGCATGGGTTTATCCAGAGTCAGCGCTCCTCAAGGACAGCTGCTATGCCACATGTACTCGCTGTGGGATCTGATCTGCCTCCACACACACAGGGAAGACCAGAATATGTAGTCATACCACTGTTCCTCTTACTCTGTGTAGATCCTATAGTGTATTTCTTTGTACTCATTAGCAATACTCTGGACGTCAGTGTATTACTCAGGAGCGATAAGTATTCATTTATTTTTCAGATTTGGGGATGTATTTATCCTGCTATTTAAGGCAACCATTGCTTATAATTCGTATCCGTTTGATGTGAAAGTCAGCAGACTCTTGTAACTTGTTTTTACATTGGTGTCTTTGCACTGTAATGCAATTACAGTGCAAAGTGATTGAAAAAGTGTTGACTGCATTACACCATAACTATAATGTAACATTGAAAATGCAGCCTCAATGTTCACTGTGATGGATTACAAGAGTATGCTAATTGATTTCAGACTGAATAGAAATGAATGAAAATCAATGGCTTCCAGGAACGCTAGGAAAAACACATCATAATAATCATTCAACATATATTTGATAATAATCAGTATAAATGATTTCTAGTTAAGGCGCGGTCCTTTAGACTTTCATAAAGTCTCGTTTCACCAGAGCAGCAGAGTCCCCCGGTGCGTAAGAGCTCTGTGGAAGCTCTTTGCTTATATGTTTACAGTATTTATAACTAGTACTCTTAAGAGTGTACCATCAATTCCCTGCAGTTTGTGCAACAGAACAGCAGAGGAACATCTGTCAATCGCAGCAAAGTGTTTTCCCTCTATGGTGGGCGGGGCTGAGGTGGTGGGTTTCTATGCCCAAAGTCATAATCCGTGATGCATAGTGGCTTTAAGACGTGAGGGGATAAGCGGTGGCCTGAACTCTACAGTAGGCGCGATGAGAAACAGCTTGGACTTTTGAAGTAAATCATTTCTCACAAACTTGTTAACCATCTAGGCTGAAAATATCATTTGAATATGTGTACGCGTGTGTGTGTGTGTGTGTGTGTGTGTGTGTGTGTGTGTGTGTGTGTGTGTGTGTGTGTGAATGTGTGTGCATGCCTGCTCACTTGTGTATGTGTGTGCCATCATAACGTATCCAAAGCTTCAATTTGGAAAACTGCTCAGGGATTACTTTTTGGAATACACTCAAAAGATTAAGCATCCTCTATGTTTTACGTCCTCCGTCCTGATCTGCTTAATATCTTGCCCGTCTCCACAGCCAGCCTCAGAAAGTTCCATCTAAAATGGCACATGAGTCAAAAGGCTGGCAATCCTTTTTCCCAACAGACACATAAGCTGCACTATGGTTGCTCTAACCCAGGGGTCACCAACCTTTTTGAAACCGAGAGCTACTTCAAGGGTACCGAGTAGTACGAAGGGCTACTTATTTGATACAAACTTCCTGAATAACAAAGTTGCACAGATCACCTTTTAATAATAATATATGTGAAGAGACTGTTTGATCACATGTCGGTTAATTATTCCTCACAATAATTATTAATAATGATTTCCACAACAATGATGGTATAGCTACACATACATATTTAAACATGCAACTTTTATTTCTGTTAATCTGTTTCAACATTTGAAAGTCAGAGGTATCACATCTCTGATATTTTTGTATCATCACATGATTAAAGCCGGTTACTTTTGCACATAGCGCCTGTTGGTGAATGATGCAGTGGTAATGTAGAAATTTTGCGAAGTCTGGGTCACCTTTGTATTGCGCAATGAAGCCTGCATGCCGGCCCGTCATCGCGGGAGCCCCGTCTGTTGTCACCGACACCAGCTTTTCCAACGGTACCTTTTTCTCCACGAAGAAACTAGTAACCAGTCTGGTCTATAGCCGAGCGGGGGATCCAACCCTCCGAGGCGCGCGAGCGTCTTCGGGCGCCCGCGTTCAAACCTCTAGTCTGGGCCTTTTCGATCGGATTGCCCCGCGGCCTGTTCCGAGGATTTACGGACCTGACGACGGGGAACCTGAAAACCTAGTGCGGTGCGGCGGCCTCGTCCTGGGTATCCGCCGTGCGCCTCCGGGTACCCAACTCTCTTATGACAAGAAATATTGTCATTTTAAAATCTACACTAATGCAAGCGTTTTTGATTTAAAAAAAGAACAGCAACTACAATTTTAGACGGAGCTCCATGGTGACTAGTGCTATTTTTAGAACATGTCTCGCGGGCGACTCACGTGGTCCCTGCGGGCGACAGGGTGCCTGCGGGCACCGTGTTGGCTACCTCTGCTCTAACCTATAACCTGGCAAGTGAGTCACTGTTTCTTTCTGTCTTTGATTTAGCATCAAACTAACCGCAATGACATAAACAATTGAATAAATACCATATTCTTGGTGATGACAGAGCAAAGGTAAAACTAAAAGGGAGACAAAAGGAATAATCTCCCCCGTTTGTCTTATTGTCCAAAGAGCCTTTAACACACCCATTACAACAGAATGAGACAGAATGAGTGTCAACACACAATAATAGGCAACGCATCTAAAACAGTCCAACTGCAGTAGTTTGTAGGTAAACTGTGGGACAGCTGGGTAGGTCATGTTGGTGCTATTCTGATCTTACCGACCTACTATTTATGGACGTTTAGTGACGTCATTTCCCTCTGAATGCCCTCAAATGTATCCTCTTTTCGCTCGGACAAATTACTGAATCAGATTTGACTTCTTGGGAGATTAAGCTCCTGTGTTTTTGGAGGAGAGGTTACAGAGTGAGATTAAAGCTAAAGGGTTGACCGCACTCTGATGCCAATAAAAATCTCTATCCAAGAGAAATGCATGAATTCATAGATATAAAACATATTAAATTGATTTAACAATAGACAACAATAAATCATTTAACTAAAAAGCTAAGCATGTTTAAATTTCGGTATTTAATGAATGTATTAATGTGCCTGTATCTGTGTGTTTACCAATACTATTTTGCTCTTTTACTGTCTAAAATGATTTGGTTTACTTATTTATTTTCTTGTCAAGCAAATATAGTTGTTATTGTTATTTCAGCAAACGGGAAAAAAAAAACAATCCTGTGCCTGTACACATCATGTTACACTGTAAAATGGGTGAACCATGAATTGTTTAGGGGTGCCGTTGATCTACCAAGATATAGAACCTAAGAGTTGTTTTAAGAATTTAAGAAAAGAAAAATAATTCCGCCCCAAACTTCCCTGTTAAAGCCTAATATCATCACCATTTTTTTGTTATTTGCCATCATCCATTATCTTGTATCATTAACAAGAGCACCTAATGGAAGCCATTTGTTGAAGCTGCAGGATTTCAGATTCACACAGATGGGTATTTAGTTCACTATAACCCTTGAACTGGGCCTGGCATGGGCAGAATCTGAGTCATCCTGTTCTGCTTGTTTCAAAAGCATTTGGATTTATAGGATTATTCAGTGCCTCGGCTGAGTAGCAATATTTGGAAGGTTTCACACTGTGCCTTTGATTGGGAACAAAGTCCACAGATAAAATGTATTACATGCACGTCGACATTTATTCTGATGTTAGAAACTCAATCGAAAATGTCTCAGCTCCATCACAAGGACACAAACTTAAAGTGCTGCTTGGAGACTTCAGACCGGTATCTCCTCTAAACAATAACAAAATATCAATCTGAAGTGATCCGGTGCACTCCGTTTGACCTAATTATGTCATAGAGCTTTTGAGATGATGAAATCTCCAAAGACCCCCCTCTCTCCAGCTGGCAACTCCATGTTTCTCTGTAAAGGGTTCCAGTGGAGCCGGGGTGATTATCCACACCACATGTCGTCTTGTGCACAGCCTCTGTCACGCTACGCCCCTCCCTCTGATGGGATCGTTCCTCCATACATTACGCCTATAAGTCACAGATTTTAATGTGAAGCCTGAAGTACGTCATCTATTGTTGTTTCTGTCTTTTCCAGTCCTGCAAAAAACTATTTGCGGCAAGTCTGATGCTCAAGCTACTGTATTCAATTATACACATAACATGGGATCAAAAGCCATTAGACGCTAAATATTCTGATATTATGTAATAGCCTGCAGATGATTAACAAGCAGTAAGCAGGAGAAACACTCACTTACCCTGCATCACTTCCATATCCGCATATTAAGGCATCCTTTGCTCCTTCAACTTTGTAAAAATTATCTAGAAAAAAGGGGAAAAAGAAGTTGAAGAAGTTTTTTGTCTAACTTCACTGAATGCTGATGATAAGGGACAGTATTCACTTCATGTTCATATGTGTCTCTGAATTTTTTTTTGGCTTACCTTCACTGGTGAGGAAGTCCGCCCTGGAGCTCCAGGTTCTGTTGTTGCAGATGAAGGATGCGTTGGGGCTAAAGGAGGAGTTGACGCAGTGGGCGAGGCTGCGGATGCACTTTTGCCGCAGCAGGCCCATGAAGAGCTGCAGGCCGATGAGGGCGAACACGCTGAGGCAGAAGACGGTCAAGATCATCACGTCTGCCAGCTTCCTCACGGACTGGATCAAAGCGCCGACGATGGTCTTCAGACCTTGACGGAGGAGAGGAGACAGCATATCAACTGTTTGGTAACACAGGGACACATTGGGGTTTCTGTTGTGTGTCGTGGTCACATTACCTGGGATGACTGAGATGGTTTTCAGTGCTCGTAGTACTCTGAAGGTTCTCAACGCTGAGACGTTTCCGAGGTCTACAAATTCTGTCAGATATCTGGAATTTGATATAATAGGATTTATGAACAACAGTGATTTGTATGATCACCGAGGATAATAATACATTTTCAGACATACTTAACGGTTTGTATATCATGTCTTTATAGTTACACTTCAATCAAATAACATTATGAGGTTGTCTTTTTAGTGGCATAGCAACTTGGTTTTATTCTTTAAATTCATGTAGATTGAACTGTATAAACAATTAAAAAATTACAACACTGGCATATAAGTTGATGTAGCTAACGTGTTAGCAAACAATTGCCATACAGCAGATACGGAGCAGCATTAGCATTCATTTGGAGTTTCTATCCAACTAATGAATGCAATATTCAATCTTCTTTTTGCTCTGTTTTGGTCTCCACCAACTCAGCCGAAAACAACACGAGAGCTATGAGTGAACTAAAACCAAAACAACCAGCTGAAAGACTCTAAAATGCTCCTTAGAACTGAGTGGCACTGCAGACGAGTAATAATTCTCTGCCGGTTCAAGCAACCCCTTTCACATACAAGTAGTCATGTGATCCACTGTTAATATAAAAACAATGCTTATTGCCTCCTTAAGAGTTAAAACAACAAGAACAGCATGGGTTGATCACCTGTGAGAGGAAATGACAGATGACTGAACCATAATTAATCAAAAACAAAATAATCGCTGAAGGTGATGACAGCTTTCAGCGTGTTTATGCGCTGTTAAAGGGATTTTGTCTCGCTGTTTTCAAACAAAGCAAATGTCCTATCAGGATGATTGGTCTCAGACAACGCTGTGCCAATTCATCGAGAGGTCACCTGTCTAATCTGCCACCTGCATCATGGGAAGTGAGTCATGGCACACAGATCTATGACATCAACAATAGGCTTATCGTCGTGGTGTTTCAAATCACTACTCAGGATGACTGAGGAATTACTGACAATCACTTTGGCATTACTGAAAAATATATATTTTTTAATCTTAATCAAATTGCTACAGTAAGCATAAAAACTATGAATTGAGGTGGACCTTTTTAAGTAGATGTTTCTGCACAATGTAGGCCAAGCCACTGCTAATGTAAAGTGAAATATGAGTGAAACATGAATGACACTGTTACTTACGCCATGGAAATGACGCTGAAGTCCAGCCAGTTCCATGGATCTCTCAAGAAGGTGAACGGCATTATACAGAATCCTCTTGCTAAAATCTTTATCGCCGACTCGAAAGTGTAAATGCCAGTGAAAGTGTACCTGAAAAAAAATTCATGGAGGGGAAATTAAATGCATTTAGCTCTGAATCAAATGTTGCAAAAGAGCTACAGTCCAAAATGCATTTCAGCATTAACATAAACCACTATCCGTATCAACAAGGACCGAAAGACAAAGCATGGAAAATAAATGTGTTAACGCTCTCAGACCCAAATGCTTTGAATGCAGCAGATTTAACGTTATACTAACTTTAAATATGGAGGAGTGATGTCACTGATTGTGTGCAAGACCGGAAATAGCATGCCTAAACATATATCATCGCAGTCTACATTAACACCTGTATAATGTTTACAAAGACAAACATATGCAAAATAATGTAAGTCTATGGACACGGTGAAGACTTTCCAGTGGTCAGTTCATTCATATTCCAATTCGTTCCGTACTTGTAAACAGTCTTTTACTTCAGGTCTGCCACAGTCAAACAGCAAATATGGAGCTACGGTCAGCCGCTGGTTAGCTTAGATTAGCACAAAGACAGGAAAAGGGGAAACAGCTAGCTTCACTCTGTCCGAACAAAGTCTTCATACCAAAAGGTCTAAAGCTCACACATGCTATATCTTGTAAAAAATAAATTTAAAAAAAGAAGTGTACGTATAAACAGTTTCAATGCCAAGCTATGTCTTAGCTGGGAACAGTAAGTTCCTGAAGTCTCAGATTTTTGTTACTTTAGGAATAGCACAGGCTAAAGTTAGCTGTTTCCCTGTTTTCGCTACGCAAACGTTGAACTAAGTTAATCAGCTTCTAGCTGTAGCTTCACATTTAACTAACGTATACAAGAGTATAGTTGATATTGTCATCTAACTCTTGGAAACAAACCGCTTGTCTTTTTACATCTATTCATAGTAAATGAATGTCTAAAGGTGCAAAAGTAGATGAACAAATTAAATCAATGAAGATATCATTAGCATGCTGCATGCTAAAAATACATGTGACCCACTGATGATGACAACTCGGCCACATCTTCCACATCATGCACATCACAATATTTTTGAAGAAAGAATTTTTAGAGACTTTTTAAGTTTCATTCGACACCACATGCTTTCTTTTAACATGCGTTGGGACGTCCTGAGTACAGTATATACCACTTGCATCATATACTTACATGTCATGATTCCTCAATCATCACTAACGAAACAACAAATCCCAACAAAGCTCCACATTAGAAAAACATGAAGCACAGTTTCAAATTATGTCCAAGACACACAAGTTTTAACTTAAGCACAAAATGTGTACTTACTCCAGGTACTTTGTCCATGGTGCCGGATCAGACATGGCCATGAAGCAGCAGTTGGTCAGTATAGTGAACATTATGAACAAGCTGAACAATGTGGAATAGAGGTTAAGGAAATTACTGTGAAATAGTAACTTACAGTCAAATAAGCCAACAATGTATGACACAATGTTTCTTGTAATCCTATGAAATATACCCATTAGGATAAACCATCACTGTGTGCGATAACGGTAGTAGAAATACAGTAAATGCAGGTTATGGAATTTTTAAGTAAGAGCTGTATCATTCTCTCTTATGGATGAATGAAGCAAAATGGCAACAATAACAAAGGATCAGTCAGCTGCTAAAATAAAAATAAAAATCTATCAGAATCAAATCAATAGAAAGTCATTAGAATAATCATCTAAAGAGTAACTAGTTCCTATCAACTAATCTAAATGATCTAAAATACATTTATATTACATACTAAAATGATGAAAAACAGTTCCCCCCCCCCCCCCAATAGGGCTCTTCAAATGCAGTTCAGAACATGATGCCAGTTTCACTTGTGATTTAACAATCAATAACAGTTAAAATATGTTATATAAAATATGATTTGATCAATAGATGATTTGTCATCAATAACACAGAGGAAATCCAGAGGAACATGCAAAGTACAAATCGGCTATCTGAGAACTAATAGGCAGCCGTCACATGATGTCAAATCTCCTTGCTCTTATTTTATTTCAGAGATTAAAAGAGGGATATGAGGGGATTTGCTTTGCAATGCCAGAGAGGACCATTACAAAGCTGTTTCAAAAATGGGACTACGAAAAAATCCAATAGCAACCTTCGGGTGGAAATCAGTAAATATTAGAGATTGGCTTATCTGCCAGTATGAGATGCAAGAAGTGGAATCTCTCTTTACAGCATAAAATGATCATTTAGGTGGAAACTTTTCACGGTGGTGTGTTCTCTGCAGTCTGATCTTCATGCTATCATATAAGGCTATGAATATATCCTTATATCACTTCTAGTATCTCTATATTTTTAAAGCCAATTAGGGCGTTCACCCACCAGCACTTTATCACAAATGTCATTAATATCAAACTAATTAAAGTGAGGGGTAATATGGTCTGACAGAAGATCAAACAGTTACATGATTATTTTACATGTCCGAGGCAAGAAGAGACACAACAGGCTCTGGGTAACCAAGAAAAGGATATGAATGGACTAAAATTTTTATGGCGATTGATCTGATGAAGTGTAATGGACTAAATATGTAAACTGCAGATGTGGCACTGAATCTGAAGATGACCTTCCCTTTGTTAAGTACTATAAAAGTCTGTAAAAGAAAACAGAAAGAAAACAGAAATCAGCAGTGAGAAATATCTCATTTTCCAAATATCATTGCTTCACTTCTGTGAACAAAACAAATTGTAACAAGTCATCAGATGTAAATGCATTTTCCCAAACAAGTTTTCCCATCATGCACAGGCTCCTTTCTGTCCAGTTCTGCAGAGAAAAGAGAAACGCAGTTCAGCGGTTTTCTTTACCCTGCAGCCGATGATCATATAACAGCAGTGTCCACCATCGGTGTTAACTTCCCCCGCAAGCACGTCTGCCTCCAAGAAAGCTGCAAGTGCACATACACACGCAGCCAGCGGGGCCAGTTGAGATAATGGAGCCAACTCCAAAGCGGGGCAGAACCTTTCCCCAACAGATGTGGCTTTTATTTAAATATTTTTTCCGTCTTTGGATAATCCTCCCATCCAGCAGCGCATCACATGCCAAAACAAAGAGACCCTGAGAATGACTGCCACGTCCTTTTTTTTCATCTCCCCATAAGCGGCCCATTAACGGGCAACAGCCTGATCTACTCACTCTGCATATCAAAACTTGCTAATCTTATTTCTGCGTCCACAAAAGACGCAGCCGCTCTGGTATCCTAAATTCAGGAGGATTCTGATCAGGAGGATCACAGACATATCAGAGTCCAGAGGACAACTTTGTTGATCATTTATCGTGTATCAGAAAAATAGCAGCATCACTGACGATACTCAAATGCCAATGATTAATCTCCAGTCACAGGTTTTTCACACCCTTAACCAGTTTGTTTGAGATGCAATCATGGCAGTGAATATTCAAAGATGTGTTTGGAAACGATCATTCAGTCGTGGTATTAAAGAATAAGTTTCACAATATTTCTTAAGTCTGTCTTAGTCAGGTGCTCATGTGTACGTTTTTGCTGACTCTTTCCTCCTGTTCATACAGAGATTCCTTCGTAGTGGATGTATTCCAAAGTTTAGCTGAAGGTTCTATGAGTCTTCAACTGTACGAATTAGTCAAATAAAACTGGTCTCTTCCAAAGTTACAGCCTTTTTAGCAGCAAATTTCCTTTTTGAGTTACTTATATGTCTCTCTAAGGAAAAAGTCCGGGGAAAAAAAAACTGTAACATTCAAGGACTTTCATATGATTACCTCAGAAAGCTGAAGCCTCATAATAACTTCAGCTACACTTTGAAATATATTTTTGCACGGAACGACGACTGTGGATTTCATCCCCAATCACTTCAGATGGAAGCATGTTAGGAAGGGACCTTTTAGTAGCCAGTAGGAACAGAAGATGTTCATTGGCCCATTCAACACCTTCAAATAGGTGGACTTAAAGCTGTTGATGTGGCTTTGAACTGATTGGCCCATGTTCCTATCAGATGTCTGTTGAAATGGTGTAAAATGTGGCTGATCTCCTCACAACGTCCTATTAAGTAGTTTGGCTAAATTTTAAATGTAAAAAAACAAACAGAAATGAAGGCCTTTCTGCTTTATGAATAGATAGTTGAAAGATCAGTTTGCTGCTTTTATTTGTCATATATATATATTCACAGATAGTAAGCCGAGAACATTTAGGACATTGGTCACTATTTTCTGACATTTTCTAGACCAGTTGTATTGTAGTCAACATAAACATGACCACCACTGTTTACCCCACCCAACAAACACACACACACACACACACACACACACACACACACACACACACACACCCTTGTACAAAGAAGCTCTCACCCTCTGGTTCTTGTAGTAAAATGGATCAATGTCTTCCAGTGGCACCCCGACAAGTTCTGTAGGGATGTCACCGAAGATGCGCGGCAGCTGCTTGCCTGCCTCCAGGTCGAGCCTGGGTTTGGGTGACTCTGCGTTCCTGTGAGCCTCGTGGCAGTCCTTGACGTTCTTGGCCTGCTCCTGCGCAATCCGCTGCTCCAGCGCAGCCATGGATTCGCGAGTGAACCGCCGCAAGCCATCAGGACCCGTTGGTAACAGCATGGTTGCCATCTTTTCATCCTGATTCTGCTATACTAGCATTTACTTACAGCTACGGGGCGGGGAAGTGGGATGGGGGGGTTGAACATATAGGGAGAGGAGAGATGGAGGAAAGTGGGTGAGAATCATCCAAATATAAATCACACAGGCTTATGAGACAGTTTGTGAACAACATGGCTTCTTGGATGTGGCACTTCTTTCAATACAAGCATACATAGATCTAGCAAACGTGTGCACATAGGGCTCCCACATGTGGCCTCCTTCGAGTCAAGGAGCTGCTGACAGAGCTGGGTCATGACATCACCCAGGTGAGAAAGCAGTCTGCCTTTGAGCTTGTCTGGGCCAGAGAGCTTTGTTTGGATTTACTCTGAACAAGGTGGAAACCTCATTCCTCCTCTCCTCTGTGACCGGCGTACGTGAGGGACTGGGACTGCTGGTTCCAGTCTTCTTGTAGTAATGATCTGTTGAACTTTCTGTAGAAAATGTTAAGCGGCTCAGCAAAAGATGCAGGATCGGGATCTGTCAATCGTGGAGTTGAGCCCTTGCCATGCCTCCCTTGCATCTCCAGTGGTGAACGTTTTCCTCCACTTTACTCTTATACTGGATTTTTGCCTTGTGTCTGAACGTACACTCCAACTCACTGACACTTTCTTTGTCGCCACGTAAAAATGCCAGTTTCTTTTTTAGTTGGCATATTTTCAGTCTGAAAGCTGCTTTAATCAACATTTCTATGTGGATCATAAGATGTGTATAATGTCAAGAGAGGTCGCTTGTAGTGACGACAGAGAATTACCACCCGACTCTATTTCCCATCAGCTCCCCGGAGCGTTTTAGCGTCATTCAGCTCATTGTTCTGGTTTTGTTGAACTTTTAGCTATTTGTGGCGAAGCTCACGGCTCACACCAGCTTCATATCCAGCCGCAGCAGGCAGCAATATTCAGCAAAAAAGCTTTAACTGTACATGCTCAGCACCAAACAGCAGACGGATAATATTAGCAGCTAGTTTGTGAACATGGTGGAATATTTTCTAGCTAAATAGCTAAACACTTTCCTCAGGAGCAGGTGGAGACCAAAACGGAGGTACAAGGAGAGACCATATTGCACTTTAGAGATTGTCTCATTTTCCTACAAACACAAACGTATAACATCAGAATGATTAAACAAGTATTTATACTGAATCCGACGCTTTGATTAAACAAGTATTTATAATATAAAAGTTGTTCTGTAAAAACATGAAAACACTATAACTCATTAACACAGCAATCAAACAACAGGAAATACAGAAACACACAGGTATGTCTCCGTCACTGACACTCTTCTTGTTTACTAACAATGTGTTTTTGCAATATATAAAGGCTTTAATCATTGCATTGCCTCTGATTTTCTGATTGGTGGATGGTACTCGGGGAGGACCAGACACATGATATAAATGTTTTCCCCTTCCAGCTGACCAACAGCAGCTCCCTGTTATCCAACTGCCTCTGTCAAACTAGGGCAGCCATAGTTGTCAGTCAGAGGGATTAAGACCACGGTCTGCAGGTCTGACCGGAGGTTTTCACCAGCAGCACTGATTTAGGAATGGCAGTCACTTGCTGTTTGCCTGCCTGGGCCTGGACATCGACCTGCCAGCAACCTTAAAGACGTTTTTAACATTTTTAACATCAAACCAAAACGCACCCCTAAAAGCCAAAAATGTCTTCCAGACTAAACCGTGTACCGTGAAAAGTTAGCCGCAACTCTACACTGCTGATAATGCCGCACTGACCGACGGTGTTGTCGCAGAAGCACAGCACCCAACCTCCGGTTCCCCCTCAGGTAAACACTGTTAATGTCAGCACTTTTCGCCGTAGTTTGCACTGTTAGCGCTGTTAGCACCATTAGCTATGAGCCGCCGGCTCCCTTCGACATGTTGAGAGCCATGTGGGGGCCAATGAAATCTCGGATATTGTATCTTTAAAGTGCAGGCTGTTTAAATCATAATTGTTACATTCTGATCTTACAAGATACGTTGCTATTAGGGAATATGTATCTTTCAATTGTCTATCTACACATTCAGCCGACTTGTTTTAGACAAGCACACAAATGTGGGTCGAAAATGAAATTTAACTTTTAGCTCTATTTTGGTCTCAACCAACCCCTGGGAGAAACTTCTGGCTCCTCCTGAGCTTCTAAATGCCCCAATGTGTTTGCCAGCTAGTTGCTAAATGTATCTGTCTGCTGTATGGTGTTGTGCAGGTGACATACAGTTGGTTTTTCTGAGCTTTTTTTAGCTGCAGTTAAGTTAAGTTGCGGGACATAGAACCAAAACCCCAAGCTGAAAGACACTGCAAAGAGCTACGGGGAACAGTAGAGTTCAGTAGACTCTGTTGGACCAGGGTTCCAATAAACGTCTGTTGTACAAAGATTATGATTCAGTCATATAAGACAGTTCTCCTGAAACTTGACTTCACAAACTGGTAATGATGCATTTTCTTCAGTACAAAAGAGCTTTCTAGTGCCTTTCCAGTTTACTACCATGTTAATAATGTCACACTCTGGCTGTAGCAGAAAACTAATTAATGATTATTTGTACCAGAGACGATACTAAATATAATTTGAATAGCTTGAAATATTACCTGCGAATGTCTAAAATCTTAATTTCCTTTTTTCTTATTGGCAAACTTAGTTCCTCTGCACTTAAATAAAGAACAAGTAGAGTTGGCAGATAATCTGATCAGAAACCAAAGCCACTGTCTAAATACAGACAATACTAGAGGCCTTCTTTTACTAAAAGATCATTCCCTTATTTTAGCCGGTGACAGAGGCTGATATTTTAACAACTGGAAAAGCTTTCCAAAGAGAGGATTACATTTCTCTGTTGCCCTTTTGACAGAGAAAATGGTATCCTTTTCATATTGACTAAGCTCTGCGAGTTCTCCATCTCCTCCCGTCCTGAAATGCATTGATCCCTTCACACGTCCAGCCAGACGCTAGTTATCTGCTTTCACATGATCTGCTTATTTGGCCCAGGTAAATCTCAGATCAGCTCATCTCATACACTGAATCCAGCGCTTTCCCATTCGCCAGCAAAATAAATAGGTTAAGGTCCATTTGCAACGTCATAGAGCAGATAAAGTCTATTTCTGTCAGGACGTGATGTATCCTCCAGAGAAACACAGTCACAGCATGTCTTCTTTGAACGGTAACAAACACTACAGACCAGTAAGAAGATATCTGACAATGACCTCTGCTCTGTAGCGAACAACATAATCAAAGTACATATGAATAATATTGTTCTCAAGTCAAAGAGAGAAATTATCTGCCTCTGTGCACTGGTTAGATTTACACACTAGGAAATAAAAAAAAGTATTTTAGTTGAATGAAATTTAATTCCCATAACAGCCAGATGTGATATGCTCATCATCACTGCAAATAATTATGATAATTAGATTTAAAGTAGAGCGGAGCAGTGGACTGGCACGCACGCACACACACACACACACACACACACACACACACACACACACACACACACACACACACAGGCCTGACATGTGTTGTGCAATGTTGTTTAAAATTCTCACAGAGGAGATCTGAACAATAAATGAAGTGATGTGTAGTGAACCTGTAGTGAGAATGTTGTAAGTTTGAACTACAGCCCGACCGATACTGTAATATTGAGTTCAATGCCGATATTGATATTTGGGGGTTTAAAATATTGGCCACAAGCAATTTTTCAACATAAACGAACGAAGATGCACACTAAAATGTTCCAGTGTAAAGAACCACTTGTCAGTGCTCTCTGGTGGACAAACGAATGAATCGCGTCATTTCACATCACTTCAACTCCTTTCAGCTTTGAGACACTTTGCCATTTTGTTGTTGTGTGAGGTTCAGTCTCTCTGGCAAATATCCAGCTCAAACTCTCATGTACTGTAACCATTTGAAATGTGTGGACACAACAAGAGATCATGATTTCATATCAAATATACGCTGCCTCCCTGAAATGATGCTAAAGAACATCGACTCTGTGCTCCAGCGTGCCATTTTTTCCGCATCTGTTACACTCACTATTATTATTATTAACTGGACTGTAGCTTTGCTCTGTCTTCACATCTATTTCTATCAGCTTAAATTCCAAGTAATCAAATACTGTTACATGGACACTGCAGAGGGGGGACCAGATCAGCTGACCACACTTTGACACTCTTCCTTAAGAATGTTCTCATATAAGTTATCAATAGTGGGTCATATACATGGTGATACGTGTTCTGTTACTTTGGTAACTGATTATCATTTAAAGCTATTAAAATAGAGTTTTAAATATTTTATTTTAATTTAAAAATGCACTTTAAATTTTCCAATTAGAGCATTTTTGCCAAATTTTCTTCTGAATATTTGAAGTGCCTGAAAACATGTATTCCATGTTTCTTGTGAATTTTCTGCATTAAATATAACAGATTGTGTCTGTGAAATAGACCAAGTGTGATCACCTCGTTGTCATTATGGTCATTATGTAATACGTACAACACTGCATTACTTAAACTATTTGCCAAATATAATAATGGATATGTACGCAAACTATTAATAAAACAAAAAATGTTGTGAATGTCGTGTTTTTCTGTTGCTTTTACTCTAATATCTGGGTTTTGTGGTTCTCTGGGTTCATGGGGTTCAATCCCTCAGAAGCTTGAGGACAGAAGGATATCACCTCAAGGATTTCTTTTTTCCCTCCATTTACATTTATTATATTATCTCAAAGAAGGGGTTTCATTTAGGACTGTTTTGTTGACATTGGTCTATAAAGGTTTGTTAATGGTTTCAAGAGATTGTATGTTTTAAATGAGTTGTTTAAGTTTGTTCAGATTTTTTTTCTTTCTTGTTCAAGACTCTTGATTCATTATCCTGTATGTTGTAAAAACACGTGCCATATGTGGAATTATTGACAGAAGGTTTACCGTCAAGTTAAACAATCTGATTACTTGTGCATGACAAAAAAAACAACCAAAACCACATTAAGACGTTTGAAAATCAAATTCCAGCACATACTTGGAGTCAGACTGCACATATTGTCTGTTCTATATTGGGCGCATGCAACGTGTCTGTGCCCTGTCAGCCCTGTCAGGCTGAACTGATGACCTACTTTTTCTGCAGAAACCTTTCAAAGTAATTGCATCAGATAGCTTAAATACGTTGGTTCCAGAAGGTATAGACCTACAGAATGAGACAGCGGTGAAATCATGAGGGTGATGCATTGAGGACAATTACTTTCATGATATCTGCTGCTTGAGACGCAGCAGATATGCTCGACTGAGTTTGACTCCGAAAACATCTTAAAACTAATCATGAGTTACACCACTTGGACAAGAAGATGGAGGTGACAGATGTCACCGAAAGAGGAAAATGGAACTGAAATGTGCCTCACATGGCATTATGTAATGTGTCACAGAAGTGAGAGGTCATGAAAGTAAGTGTAAGCCTTTAATGCTCACATGAAAACATTAAATTAATATTTTGCCTTATGCACTTGGTATGTATATTTTTTAATGACACATAACATATTTGGTGTTGTTTTAGATTATGGATTAAACCTAAAACCAGATTTTAAAAGAAGCAATGATTATAATTTGTTCTTTTTTTTCATTGTGTGTAGAAGTTCTCCATCAACCCATTTTAACTGGAGGAAAGGAAGGAAAAGCTGAAGACCAAATTAACAAATGATGTCATGAAGACATTTACTTTTCTGTCTGTGTGGCCACAAAATGAATGCACGCTCAATATTAATTATAAATCATAAAAAAATAAAGAAGCCCCTTACAGGGCTACTTACATATGAAACTCTGAGATTTACAGCATCATTTCCAGAGTTGAGTTCTTCGTGTTTTAGACGAAGGAAAAGCCAAACTCTCCGCGCAAAATCCATGTCTTGCCGTCAAGGGTCGTTCTTCATGACGGACCAAAACTCCAATCCAACAGGACAGAAAAAAAAGTGCGTCTTATCACCACAATCCAAAAGTTTGGCGCACAAAGCTCTAGACCAACGCCAGTCGTCTAATCACCTTATGTTGAACCATGCCACAGGTGCGACGTGCAGGTTGCCCTCTGTCCTTCCATCCGAGTGGCTCTTCAGCATTCATCCCACAGAGGAAAGGTCCCGAGCCGGCCGAGCGTGGAGAGGATGCTGCGCTGTCTTCAGCAGCTGCGCAGCGGCGGGAGATGAGCGCCTCGATTTGCCCTTGAGCAAGAGCACGAGGGAGGGAGAATGCTGCCGGGACCGCGGGGGATTACCGCTCCTACATGTCCCACTCAAATAGGACAGAGACATGAGAGCGGGCACTTTTTCCACTCCACCAAATCGCAAAAAACACAAGGGACATGATGAAAGAAGCACTCTGTGCAGTTATGGGCTATTGTATAGCTTATCTACATAATAAACATTAGTAACCTAATGTCAGCATTGTGTTTGTGACATGGATGACATATTGTTTTCTGAAAGTATCTGAACTTGTTTTGACTTATATTACATAATAGGATATTCCATGTTGCATTTACACAAGGTTTGACATTTGATGAATTGTAGTTCAGAGTTAGGCATGCCATGTGCTAAGCAAGACTTACAGCAAGCGATTTCACTGTCAACCACGTAGTTGAATTCGTCAAAAACTCGATTTGGAATCAAAACCTGTGGCCCTTGAATGAACCGTAAAGGGTTATTGTTTAACACAAGCTGTCAGCATTTCTTTACTGTGTATCCAATGGGCTGAATGGTGGTGGTTTTGGATGACCAGGCGCTGCCTCCAGTTTTGGTCTCTTACTGCGTCCTCTAGTGGCCAACGGTGGACTTTCTATGAGTCAACCTTTTCATACTGAGGGAGATTTGTTCTCTGATCTTTACCAACCAAAGACAAGACGGATTGGGAATACCAGCATTTAAAAATGTACACATTTTAGACAGATGCTAGTGGCCTATTTGGAGACCCATTGTGCCACTGGGACTCTGTATTTCTTCAACAATGAAATACAACATTTTCAGAACTGACAGGGAAGGTTGCAAAGAGGCACATAATCTTAATGAGGTTGAACACTGGGTCAACATTCGTATTGCACATCCATGTGTTGAGGGAGACCATATGAGTAGTTATCCTCTGATGTATTCTAAGCCGTTATTTAAAGGATTAAAGGCCTGCTTGGTGTTCGCCTGCCTACGTGTGTCTAAATGGGCAGAACTAGCACTGATTGTGAGAAAATAAGCACCTTATGGCCATTTTGTATTAGAGAGTATGTTAAAATGCAATGTAGTCTTATTTTATGGATACAACATAATAGCCTATAACTACAGCCATTCGAAGCCCTTATATTTGGGTGCCCCAGGCAGATATCTAATGCCGTGTCATTTTAATGTTTATGTTAAGGTCCCCTATCATAAACATTTATCTGGTGTACCAGACCCTTCCTGCAGTGAAACTAGGAGACAGTGGGAAAACCACATTACCCATAAAGCTCAGGTGCATATGTTTTCCTTTTTTCCGGATGTAGCATCACATGAATTGACTGTCAACATGCAAGATGGCCACCCATCACAGGCAAAATGCTGCTGGGCGGAGAAAAGTACAGGTACATTTTAATAGTTTCATTAGTGCTAAGTGTGTGGAAGCTTTAAAAAGTGCTTCACGGATACTTGACTCACAGCAAAAACGGCCTGCTAAAGGCAGCGCTGCTCTTATGAGTCATGACTCAAGCCGGCTAACCGAGCTAGCTTAGCTTCCGTTAGTCTTTAGCGTCTTCTGCTAACGCTGGCGTCCAAGCGATAACATGTTCTTCTAAGCAGTTATCACAGAAGTACGCGTTAAATCCGTTTCAACACTACTATCAAGCTCGTTAATGAACTCAAGTGATTAATACGATGTCTACGCTGCATTTTATGCTGTCACAGCGTTGACGGCAGCTTAGGTACACTGTATCTGGGCTCGGTCTAATTGCTGGGATAACGTACGTGTCTCGCTGGTTCCATCGTGCACCGCGCCTGTGCACATTGCTACCAAATCAAAGTTACCTATAAGTACTGAATTTGTTCATTGTTAATATCACTTGATATTTATCAATTTCCAAATATATGTGTCATTTAGCTTGGCTATATATTTCCGTAGCTAACTCGGCATGTCCTTGCAATGAAGAGCATTGGACCTCGGAAGGTGCACGAGCTAGTGGGTGTGTTGTGGGGAAAAACAGAGTCTGACCTCAGTGCTCACGCTCCTCTTTGTGTTCCAGGTGTCCTATGTCATTAGAGATGAGGTGGAGAAGTACAATCGGAATGGGGTGAATGCACTCCAGCTTGACCCTGCGTTGAACCGGCTCTTCACGGCTGGAAGAGACTCTATCATCCGGATATGGAGTGTCTACCAGCATAAAGTACGGCTTCTTAGATTCTTAATCTTTATTAAAATATACACTCAGAATGTGACCAGGCAGCTGTGTGGTCACATGCATATTGTTTCCTCATTATGTATAGTGTAAGTGTCTTAATTTCTCTTCTGTTTCTTTGCAGCAGGACCCGTACATTGCCTCGATGGAGCATCATACGGACTGGGTTAATGACATAGTTCTCTGTTGCAATGGCAAAACACGTGAGTGTGATTGCTATCTGTTATGTTATTTAGGGTTTAGGCAGTGTTCAGCATCTAATGCTGCCTGTTTCATTCTACTGTTCTGGTTGACTTTATCTGATCCACTCTCACTGTCTTCTATTTTCAGTGATATCTGCCTCATCAGACACAACCGTCAAAGTATGGAACGCGCATAAAGGCTTCTGCATGTCAACGTTACGAACACACAAGGACTATGTGAAGGCTCTGGCTTACGCTAAGGACAAGGAGCTTGTGGCATCAGCAGGTCTCGACCGGCAGATCTTTCTTTGGGATGTGAACACACTGACGGCACTCACTGCTTCCAACAACACTGTAACCAGTGAGTATTGCTTGTAGGGAAGTTGTATATTGGAGCGATGCTGGCTCGAATAGCTGGATCGGATATCTATGACAACAGGGGCAAACTGTCCAATTCAATTGTAGTTTTATATACATTATATAGTCAAAACGTTGGTCAAAATTCCTGTTTATGTTTTGACCGACTTCCACACAGTGAGGAATAGAGCTTATTAATTAACCGTGTTGTCTGTACTCGGTATCGGCCGATGCCCAAAGCCCAAGTACGGGTATCATGAGTGAAAAAGTCGGAGATATGCGTCCCTAATTTTTTGTTTCTGGGTGACAAGTGGTCCAATTTCTGGCCTATACAAACTGTAGTTTTGATTATTGTGCATTTGTATTGTTCTGTAATGTCTGATGTGTATTTCTGAGAGACGTATACATGAGGACTCACTATAATCCGTCTCCAACAGCCTCGTCACTCAGTGGGAACAAGGACTCGATCTACAGTCTGGCTATGAACCAGATGGGCACAGTCATTGTATCTGGATCAACAGAAAAGGTTTGGGTTCTCATCAGTGGGATGACACACGCATGCACACTATTAGTACAATGAAAGTAGATTAAAACAACAGTGATTATCTCATTTGTCATATGTGATTTTTTTTTTTTGCACTACACTTGCCATTTTCCCTTCCTTTCTGTTGAGCTGTTCATAAGATGTTTCCTGTATCACACATCTGTGTGATAATTCATTAGTTTAAAAACTTACTTTGAAACTCTGTGAATGCTTTAATTGAAGTGTTATCTTACTATGTTTGGTCCCGGTAATCTGGTTCTACTGTGCATGTCAATGTAATAAAGAAGTGCCCATCTTCACTCCATACTTTCTGTCTTCAGGTCCTGAGAGTGTGGGATCCTCGAACATGTGCTAAACTGATGAAGCTGAAAGGTCACACGGACAACGTCAAGTCGTTGCTGCTGAATCGAGACGGCACTCAAGTGAGTCGAGATGTCTAAAATATCCAGTGATGGCAGCTGTCAAACAGGCGTTTTTAAAATCTAAACCTGCTGTCCTTTTCGCCACAGTGCCTGTCCGGCAGCTCCGACGGGACCATCCGCCTGTGGTCCCTCGGCCAGCAGAGGTGCATCGCCACATACCGGGTGCACGATGAAGGGGTCTGGGCCCTGCAGGTCAACGAGGCCTTCACACACGTCTACTCTGGAGGCAGAGACAAAAAGATCTACTGCACTGACCTGCGTAACCCAGACATCCGCGTGCTCATCTGCGAGGAGAAGGCCCCGGTGCTCAAAGTAAGGAGCAGCCAGCACACGTTAACTTGGAAAAAAAATGGTGCAATTCTGTGACACACTACAGTGTTTCATAGACAAGTTTTAAAAAAAGTTGAAAAAGTTATTTTCTGTTGCTTTTAATTGTAAAAGTTTGTTATTAAGCAGTACGGGTTTTGTCTGAATGCTGAGCTTTTCTTTCACCTGGTGTCTTTCTGCAGTGGAGAGCAGTACTTTGTGATTAATGGTGCTTTCATTTTACCTCGGTTTGTTGTTTCTGTTGCATGCATATTACAGAACATGTGACTTTGCTCAAAAACAGAAGCTTTGCTTCGTTAGCAGTGACGGAGCTTATTGTAAGAAGTTTTACTGTATTGTCATTCCTGTGCTCATAGCCAACCATTTGGCCCCATTCAACCTTTTGCTGTCTTTCTCTTTTGCTCAGATGGAACTGGACAGATCTGCTGACCCACCTCCAGCAATCTGGGTCTCCACCACCAAGTCATCCGTTAATAAATGGGTAAGCATGCGTGAATCCTCTGAGATCACTGCTCGACTGTCAGCATAACGACTACGGAATACAGTGTAGACGGACGTGCGCGCGCGGCCACGCCTAATGCTATTCAGTAGTAATCGCCCTGTGATTTCTGTACGAGTTTAAACCAGCTTGTTGACGATATGGGTGATACACAAAAGATAATTGCATTACATTAATCGCCGCTTTTGCTGCAAGGGAGAGTTGGGAAGCGATTATTAAAATCCGGGCCGACTCTCTAATGATTATTGTTTTTCTCTATGTGTGTGTGCGTGTGTGTGTGCATGTGCGTGTGCGTGTGCAGTCTCTAAAGGGAATGCACAACTTCCGGTCATCAGGGGAGTATGACAACGACTGCACTACCCCTCTTACACCATTGTGCACTCAGCCAGAACAAGTCATCAAAGGTAAACATGTTTTTTTATCGGCAGCCTCTTTCTACATCGGTCTCATGGACATTCTATAAAGTACAACCCTGTGTTGTGTTTGCAGGAGGTGCCAGTATCATACAGTGCCACATTCTGAATGACAAGAGACACATACTTACCAAAGATACCAACAACAACGTGGCTTTCTGGGATGTCCTGAAGGTAAACTCCCCTCCGTAGTTAAGTTATTTCTAAGTGTGTTGGAGGCAGATTCACGTCTTCATTGAGACACCCGCTGAATCCTTTCATCATCAACCAAACAGAGGAATGTCTGCTCTTCGTCAATCATAAAGCAAAGTTTCACTGGCTGCCATTTAAAAAAAATTCTGGCCCAAAACAATCTCGGCCACTATTAACGGCAGCGGGCAGGATGTCCTGTGTCACACAAGTGACGATTAACTGACCAATCAGTGGTCTGCAGTGCTTTAACTCCATCATATCGTATTGGCTCAGCTCGCTTGGAAACTCGACCGTTGTGGTACCAAAAAAAGTACCGGGTACTATCCAACACTTTTGCAAATGAAAAAAACCCAAAAGTGTGATTCCTGTGGTTTGAATTCCCCTCATGTGTATTTTTTTACTTCAGGCTTGCAAGGGTGAAGACTTGGGGAAAGTGGAGTTCGATGAAGAGATTAAAAAGCGCTTCAAGATGGTCTACGTGCCAAACTGGTTCTCTGTTGATCTTAAAACTGGGGTGAGTCACAATCCCGGTAATGCAAGAAGCTTTTCATCTGTAAGCAGCTGTGACTTTTCTAAACTCAGAAATACTCCCAGAGCCTGGTCAGTGGTCCCATAGTCTCTTTTTATTTAATCAACAGATGCTCACGATCACTTTGGACGAGAGCGACTGCTTCGCTGCCTGGGTGTCTGCAAAGGACGCTGGGTTTTCAAGCTCTGATGGATCCGACCCAAAGCGTGAGATATCTGACCTGTTCACATTTTATATACACATAGCCTGTGAATTATGCTGAACTGAAGCTAACATAATATTGCACCCCTGCTAACTGGATTTTGCCTCACCGTCTCCTCAGTGAACCTGGGTGGACTGCTGCTCCAGGCTCTGCTGGAGTTCTGGCCCAGAACTCGCATCAACCCCATGGACGAGGAAGAGAACGAGGTGAACCACGGTAAGGAGGCGCTAAACTGCCAAATCATCCAAACCTCTGCAGTGAAACTCTGGGAACACCAGTGTGCGTGTATTCATTGCTCCACTTTGTATTTTCAACCACTTGGCTGCACTCTCAACTTCATTTCCTGCTGCCGTCAGTGCGCGGCGGGCGTCTAAAGCCTCATTCAGTCCGTCTTACAGTAGGATCGTGTTCTTGTGTCCACAGTGAACGGAGAGCAGGAGAACAGGGTCCAGAAAGGAAATGGATATTTCCAAGTGCCACCACACACGCCAGTCATCTTCGGGGAAGCAGGAGGCCGGACTTTATTCAGGTAATGTTTCGCTAACACCCTTATCAGTACAGGTTAAATGTTAACTCTGAAAACTGCAGTGTGCACTGTAATGTCTGCTTGTGTCATCAGTTTATAGTTGTCTTAAACAGAAATGTTGACAGTATTTATTGCCTCTGATGTGCTGTTTGTTGTGTTGCAGGTTGCTATGTAGAGATTCAGGTGGAGAGACTGAATCGATGCTGCTGAACGAGACGGTTCCACAGTGGGTCATTGATATAACTGTAGACGTGAGTACAACTGTATTTCCATCTTTAGATTACAGGTTAGATAGACTGAATTCAAATGTGGTTACTTTTTGTGTGGGTCCACTGAATGCACATTGGTATGTGTATATGTAACGCTCATGTGACACCGGTGGTTCCAAACCCTTGCTCATGTTTGCCAAACCATCAGTTTCAAAACACAGGAAATCATGACAGCTGAGCCAAGCATACGCAAAATGCTATCAAGCATGGAACTCAATCATACATCGTATCATACGTGGCGTTATTTACGCCTGGAAAGGTTATGTCGCTGTGTTTTTTCGCATCTCTGAAACGGCACGTGGTACACTGACGGTTTGCTCCTGTCATAATGATTTGCGTGTATTATCGTCCATCTTCTGTTCCAGAAAAACATGCCCAAGTTCAACAAAATCCCGTTCTACCTCCAGCCCCATTCTTCCTCCGGTGCAAAGACTCTGAAGAAGTGAGTGTCTGTCTTTCTTTCTTTCGCGTTGCCTTTTGATAAAGCCGGCGCACCTGACTGAGCTGACTTAACCCGCCGTGTGTTCTGCAGGGATCGTCTCTCGGCCAGCGACATGCTCCAGGTGAGGAAGGTGATGGAGCACGTTTACGAGAAGATCATCAACCTGGACAACGAGTCGCAGACCACCAGCTCCTCGGCCAACGATAAGCCGGGGGAGCAGGAGAAGGAGGAGGACATGGCCATGCTGGCCGAGGAGAAGATCGAACTCATGTGTCAAGACCAGGTGAGCCCCCCTGACGTCATAACATGAGCACACCTTGTGCATCCCAAGTCATTGTACATTGTATTAAACGTTCACTTTTTATTTTTCTAATCTTCCAACCAGGTTCTGGATCCCAACATGGACCTGCGAACAGTTAAACATTTTATCTGGAAGAGCGGAGGGGACTTGACGCTTCACTATAGGCAGAAGTCCACGTGAAAATTCAAATTTTTAAAACAGGAACTCTCTTCGTCATTTGCCAATCACCACCCACCTCTGACATGTAGTACCCTAAACCCCATTGTGTGGTCAGGAGTCGCAGTATCAGTGAGAACCTAGTAAGAATTGTGAGGACCAACTGACCAGAACAGGCCGGAGCAGCCAAGAGACACCTGGGAGAGAAGTGGTCCGTAGTTTTCTCTTTCTTTCTTTTCTTTTACAGATTGAAGAAAGGACTCTTCTCCAGCACTCACCTTTTTTATTTATCTGACTGCTCTGTTTGTTCTTTCCTTCTGATTCGCGTTTAATTAATGAAGCAACAGAAGTTACAGTACATGTTTGTGTCTGAGCGTGTGTGTGTACACACACACACACACACACACACACGGATGTAGTAGACTGTTTTTGTTCTAGTACATTCCAGAAACTGTCCGTGTTCGACAAACACTCCACACCCGTCTCGGCGCAGCAGCAGTGTAGGGTTACTCTTGGTCTGTGGGTAGCGTCCCGCTCCTCTGTCCTGCTGTCATCTTAACTTGAACATCTAATTATCGCAGAGCTTGAACTTCATTGACAGAAGCACTCGTCTTTGTCATTTATTTTTAGCTGTGCTGTCCTCAATGGGTCCGAATGTTCTTTGTTTTGTAAATATATGTATTCTCGATTTAAGTGGCTTTGTTTTCTTTTGCAGCAATTTTATTTCGTTGTACAGTTAACTTCAAAACCAACAGTTACTTTATTTTTTTCCCAAATCCCTAGAGCATTCATAGTCATAAAGGTAAATTTGACTTGGATGTTAAAAATTGCATTTGTTGTATTCAATACAAGCCAGAAATTGCATTTTACTCTTTAAGAATGTTAGTAGTCGTCCAAGTCATTTTAGCAATCAGGAAATTATATATAAAGGTATATATCTTTAATAATAAATCATGCTTACCCGCTCTGTGCTTGAGTCATGACCGGTGACTTTGATGACAGTGAGGGCTGTTACTAATGTATATTTCATTTAGATTTAATAGTTCAATGAAACATGAATAAAGAGAAAGGAGAATTTCTGAACACTGTGGGGAATTCAAGTCAAATAAACAGGCGCGCGCACATTCCTCTCTCACTGTGTCACCGCGCTGATCAACAGATCTTTTCATTGTAAATTTTCCACAGATAATTTAGCCATGAAGCGTGAGTGTGTAACGCCACAGTGGGGATGCATCGCTCAAAAACATGGGTACCATAATTAGGCCATAACACTGCAATATCCCTTGTTGTAATAATTTGTGAAATATGTATATTTTAGGCATTCAAAGAAATAAATTGGAATGGTTTAACAATGATAGATTTATGGGAATTATAAATAGATGTTTTCTTGAGTTGTAATGTTGTTCGGCTGATGAGTGTGAAATAAGAAAAACAAGGGAGCAATTCTTTTCTTTAAAGTCAAGTGATATGATTTTTTACCATCAAAGATTAACCCATTTCACATTCATCAAAAGACTCTACACTCATTCCTAATAAAACATACAGTGAATTGATAAAATATCTGCAAAAAATACTTTTCCTTATTTTACACACGAGCACCTACTTTGACAGTGAAAACCTTAACGAAGCCCCCTAGAAAGAAAATTACTCAACAGCAGCATCACTGTGACCGGACGCATTACATCTACACATCACCTGCCAACTCACAGGCAGGACTTGTCTGATTTTGCATAGATCACAAAGAATTACAAAGTATGAATAGTGTTGAAGGAGACATAATTCTAGTGATACAAACTGTCAAAATATTTTTTTTCCAAACATCACATACTGATTGGCTGAATAAATCAAATTAAAAGACGGCGTTTAAAACATACTGACCTCGTCAAATCTAGAATAAAAACATGAACCGCCTGGTTTCACGCGGTGCAAGTGGACAAACATTTCCCAGCACTTAAAAATCCAATACATGGGCCATAAACTACAATAAACTAGAAAGCTATGTTTAAAAGCTCTATTTTGGGGAATCATCAAGACCGGCTCATCTGAACTGCCGACCGTTTGGTAGCTTCATAAACGTGGATAGTGTTACAGATGTGGTGGTGCAGCTGTGCTCCGCTGTACCAAACGTATGCGTTTGTCTTTGGAAGCGTTCAAGTATTCATCGCAATGGTAGACCAGAAACAAAGTCGTGTCACCAGTATAATCTAATTTTGCACCAAGCATGGAAAAGATGTTCTGACATAATTATCTTGGTGAACAAATAAGCAGTAACTTTAAAATCCCACACATATAACAGAAATAAGATATTCCTACAGTGCCTCTAAGTATTTCCCAACTGGTATGCTAATGCTTTAGCGGGTGGCTGTAGTGTAACAAACCTGATGGAGCCATACGCTTACTGTGAATCTATCATTATAAAATCAGAATGCATGTCCCTCTGTCTGTCCTGTATCTCCTATAGTGTTCCTTTTAAAAAGCCCCAGTGATTGTCAACATTCACTCTCCATTTTTTTTGCGCGGCCTGATGCGAGCCTACTCGAGAGGCGGCTCTTCTGGTTCCTCCTCGTCACTCTCATGGCTGCAGTGGTGAGCAGCAGCAGCCACGTCTAGAGGCTCTGCAGGCTCCTCCACTGGCCACGTCGCATCCTCGACGGCCTGAGCGGACTTGGGGGGATCGGCGGGAGACGTGCAGGGAGGGTCTTCAGCTGGGACAGAGGGCTCAGCGGCAGGAGGCTCTGGGGGGGACAGGTCACGCGGAGGTGAACTCGGGCTATCGCTGGATTCACACAGAGAGCCGGGTGGGTCTGTGGACTCTGTGACCAGGTGAGATAGTTCAGCCGGCGGGACGCCTGAATCAGATAAAGTGTCAGTGGAAGCAAGAGCAGAGCTGAGTTCCGTAGCCGTCTGGCTGTCCACTGAAGACGAAAGCAGCACACTGTCCTCCAGCTCCTCTGTACGACGGGAAATACAAAACATTCAGCCTGTTTTCCTTTTGCCAAATCGAGATATGAAAGCTACGGGACATTTGTATGAATTGCTGCAACTCACCAACACCAGAGATCTCCCCGTCCTTCTCCTCATGCATAGTCAGTGACGTGTTGGTCATGTCGATGGACGACATGGACAGATCCAGTCTGTCCGCCAAATCTGCAGGTTCGGGGTTCACCACAGCCACTTCAGAGTCTGAGAAACCTGATTAAAAAACAAATGCAAAACACTTAATGAGAAGATTTTTATGAACCCAATTAGATGCCAAACAGACAACACTTATATGTTGTATATCATCATCCTCTAAAACCACTGCATGTCTGAACTGACCCGGGTTCATGACCCTCTGGATGGGTGGAGGTAGAGGAGCTTCCTGGAGGGTGACCTGCTCCAGGTCTAACACGTCTACACTTTGACTTGAAGGAGCCATCAAAGGTGCCTGGAAAACATGTGACAGACTTGAGCTCTACCGCTCCAACCAATAGTTTGATCTCATGTAATATTATCAGAAAAATCCATGTGGTTGTTGGGGAAAATAAAACCACACCGATCTCTGACTGCTTTTGTCTCTGCATTCAATACAGTACATCAAGCCAGCCAATGTCTGAATCAGCAGTGACACAAACAAATGGAAAGGGCTGAAACAATGAATATGATTTGTTATCTATAGTCATCTAAGCATTATATTTAGCAAACAAGCTAAACATTTGTTGATTTCAGCCTCTCAAATGTGACTTTTTTTTACCATTTTTATTGACATTTCATAGACTAAATCACTTCATCAAAATAAAAAAATACAACGGCAAAGAGTGGTAAATGTGGAGTCAGACGTACCTCCGTGAACCCGTGGGTGGGCAGCTCCGGAAAGGGTTCCTCCTCAGGAACAGGGGAGGGAGGCTTTGCCGTCGAAGCATCAAGATGTCCTGGGATTCGGTGCAAGTAGCCATAACCAATGCCACAGCCCAAACTAAGAGCCAACAGTTAATGCAAGTGAAAATGTGTGAATGTTATCAAAATAAAACGGTCCTAAATTCTCCAATAAGTGACCCTGAATAACTCGTATCTGTGTGTTGCCACTTACCTGCCCTCTCCGCCCCACGCCCCGTTTGGTGTGACCACCACCTCTCTGCAGGCATCTGTGTGTGTGTTGTACACCAGCAGCTTCAGGGGCTTCCCTTCATGGGCCTCGATCAGCGAGAAGAAGTCTTCTGACTGGAAATCAGTAACACTGCGTTAACTACGACTCATCTCTCAAAGATTTCTCGAGATCAAATTTTTTTTAAATAAATCTCACAAATGATCAAACGTTTCGCAAAACATATCAGAGCCGAATGTCAGCAGTAACGCCTTGTATGCAAATGAGTCTTACGTCTTGCAACACTTGATCTGCTCCGACGATGTAGTCGATGTGTGGCTGAAGCTCTGCCAATGAGGCAGGGGAACTGGCCTCCACGTCCTACAGGACAGCAACAGGAGTTAGCAAACTAAAGATGGAGCTATAGTGGGGTAATAATGAATGTGGATGTTCAAATCAGAGTTAGGTCAGCTGGTTCGGTTCTCCCAGTTCCGGATGAAGAAGCTCACCAGAACGTGCCAGACATTCTCATTGGCTCCTTGGTAGCTGCAGAAGCGAACACTGGCACCGAGCAGGCCCTGTCCTCCCCACATGTTACTGGGTGTCACCTCCAGCTCGCGGAGCGTGGTGGTTTTAGTGCTGTACACCTGCATCCTCACCGCTCTCTCCATGTTGGCTTTCAGAAGCTCCTTCAGCAGGTCATTTTCTTCATTCTGGTAAACAGTTAAGGGGAGGAGTCAAAACAGTCGGATTAAGAGGTAACTGTATTTTAGTGTTCCTGTGCGTCTGTGCACTCTTACAAGTCTTTTGTTGTCCAGAGACAGAATGAAGTCAAAGAACGGCTGCAGTCCGGACATCTGTGCAGGGGAATTTGGCTGCACCTGTCAAAAACAGAGAGAAGCATTTTAATAAATCCTGACGCTTCACCAAATTTACGCTGATAGAATATTATATTATTTGGGAAATGAATTTGAAAAACATTTAAATTGATTTAAACCAGAGTTGTCATGTCTTTTTGGAGGTTAAATTGTGGACCAACAGTCCGTTTAACTAAAAATATCCAATTTACAACCACTAAATGATTGGCGTTGTCGCTTAATCGATTAATTAGTTAACCGACTAGCTAATCGATTCAGCATCAATGTAATGTCATGTACAATTATTCTATTTTTTGCATAAGGCATGTAAGCCAGTAAATAAAAATCTTCTTTTCATATTCCATCACACTTAAAAGCATTGGCTAACATTATTATTATTATTATTAGTCACAGCATTAGCTAGCTAGTATTCAGCTGACGTTACTATGCTACTACGACTTTGATAAGAACCACGTAGCTAGTTAGCTCAGTGGACTGTTGTAATACTTCCTTAAACAAGTTACAAGCCTGAGTTAGTTATTTAATAATGACACAAGTTAATAAAATGTTTCTATTGCATTGTGTCTACTTGGAATAGCAGGTAAACGGTTCCGACTCATCCGGTCTTTCGAGTTGGGACTCCTCAGCTAACTAGGTTAGCATACTGTACATTTCATGATAAGCTGCTGTACACGTTGCTCCAAATTCAAAGAAAGCTAAATAATGGTCGTCTTACGCCGTGCACGTGGTATCCATACGTTCCTCCTTCGGATACTTCTGAACTCTGTGATAGCCCCATTTCTGTGAGGAACCTTCAAATAGTAGCTTATATCATCAGAAAATAACAAGAGTGTGAGAACTATTACGGTTGACAGTCCGCGGCCATCTTGTTTGCAGTCCAAAACAGTCGAACGTCGCTTGAAACGGAAGGGACACTAACGCACACACAGCGCATGCGCGCCTGGCATACTTTTTTTTAGAATTGCAAAAATGCTTGCACAAGGGTTCGTGGGTGAAGTAAATGTCGTTGTTTCAAAAATTATTTTTTACAACGGTATCTTCTTTTCAAATAATATTGCAGCGTGCGTCCTTGTGTCTGGGATCTTAATAAACAACAGGTTTAGTTTGGTTATAGATTATAATCATTAGAACACAAATTCAGATGTTTAACTTATTGTGGATTAATTCGATCTTTTTCTGGGAGAACACTGTCTTGTACACAGATGTGCTTTGCCAGAACACAGTGATGTGACTTTACAGAATTTACAGTAAGTCCTATTAAAAGCCAGCCGACTTTTTTAATATGCACTTACAACTTCGGGGAGCAAAGTTCGTTTGAGTTAAAAGGTCTGTTGTTAATAATTAGTGCTGTTAGACAGTTTTTCCTTTTCTTTTTACCTTAGACTCCATCTCACTGCTCTGGAGCTCAGAGGCTGATCGTTCAACCACGCCTCTGCTCCCTTCATCCCTCAAAGTGCATTTGTGAAACACCTGGGTGAAAGGGGCAGATGGTCTTAAGGTTACGGAGGCATGGGTGGGGTCAGAGGCACAAGGATGCAATGGATGCTAAATACCTTTAATTAATGCTGTGATGTGTAGAATTGATGAAATCTGATGGGTGTATATAGATATAGATATATATATCCAATTGTTTTTAAAAGGTTTGGCTCTCAGAGTTGAACACAGTCCCAGTTCTGGTGTTCTTTCCCTGGTTGAGTACTTGATCTGCTTAAGTTTTAAGAAGCAGCAATTTTGTTCACATACCTGCAGCTTTTTCATGAATCCCCTGTGTGCTGAGGCTGTGGACTGGGTGGAGGTGGAACCAGCCAGATGTGCAGGAGAACACATCTGGGGTTTGGGTTTGACCTCTGGTGGCTGTCTCGGGGGTTTGGGCTGAGGAACCAGCGGCTGCTCTTTCTCCTTCTCACCCTCATCCTTGAACAGATTCATGAAGCAGAAACACAGGATAGAGTAAATGAACCGCTTTGTTGATTTTTAAGGGCACAGTCTTTAGCTTCAGTATTTTGTGACGTGTATCTACAGATAACGTGCATAGTAATCACATACTGGGACTGGGATGGTGTGTCATTTAAAAACAATTGTCAAAAAATGATCTTAAGTTTGTGTATTAATTCAAACTCACATCATCAATATAGCATCAGCTGAGCATCAAATTATAATCATAAACACTCAATTTAGAGAGATAGAAAGAAAAGATATGTGACGGACTTTAGATTTAGTTTATGACTTGCCACTCTTATTTTTTTTTTATTTCAAGCAGCTTTTTTTACTTTAAAATTCTTCCTCATAATATTGGCTTGCTGAGTTGTTTACCACAAACCAGACAAGAGTGCCAATTTTTTTGTTCGGTGAACTTTAAGGACTTTTAGCTACAGCAGAATTAGTTACAGCTGCTAAAATATATCAGTGACATTAGTCTTTCTGCCAATAATATTTGTACTCGCTGATGGCATGGCTGCCTCTGTGGGTTGGTGCGCATTGTTTTGTGTTTTTATTGTAAATTCAGTTTTCTGCTGTGATACCCGGAACTCTTTCACCGGAGATGAACATCAGGGAAACAATTCCAGCAGATTCATTTCCCACTATTCTCACATTATCTAATGTATTAGATTCAGATCTGGTCAGAGGTACCCTCAGCTTTGTCCATGCAGTGAAATGTGCAGCTGTGATTGTAAGTGTCCGCCAATACGGACTTCCCACACCGTTACTGGAGATATTTCTCTCTAATGTGCATTGATTTTGCAACAAACTGGATGAACGTCCACACACACACACACACACACACACACACACACACACATACCTGGGATCCAAGCGGCTCTTTCCTGGTGGTGAAAACCACCTCTCCTGACCTTCCTGTGGTTAGACCTGAATTGACAGCATTGTCATTCTAAATAGTAGCAGAGCTGCTTCATATCCGCCGTTGATGCAATACATGTGTAATGATGTAATGGTGATGCAGAGCCCATGAACGTGATATTTTTTGTTCAATAGTGGCAGTACCCTGAGACACTGAGACAAGTCATATTAAGGCCTATTAGGCCTTTTGTAGCAATTTGCAAACAATGTGACTGATTTGAGATTGTACTAAATCAATTAATATTTTTTTGTGTGTAATAACAGAAGTCAAATGAAAACAGTTCTTCTTGGCTTTGCACTGGAAGAGTCATGAAGCACAGTCATTACGTCAAGTCAGTATTGCTCTTATAACGTGATGCTAGCTCAGTCTTGGTTTCTTCTCATGAACTACGGATGAATAGACAACACCACTCATTAAATACATTTTAAATCAGTAGTAAATTGAAAAAATGTTTTATTATATTATTCCAATACAGAAATGTCCCAAACATATTGTTTAGCATATACAAGATAATCCACAATCAGAAAGGCAGTAGAAAATAATTCACAACTCTGGGGTTGATTTATGAAATTTTTCATTCTGGTAAATGGATTATAATCTTATACCATGGCCAGCTACCTGCAAAATATGCATAGTTTTGTTGACACACGGGGCAATACCTTTGATTGCCTCTATCTTTGTGACCTTTGGAATGAATATTACTTTCAACAACTTAACTTGCAATGAGCAGCGATGAGGCTGAAGCATCAGAGCCAAATCCAAATATTCTTAGTGGCCATAGTATAAGAAATTAAATAGCATATCAGACATGATTATATAGGTTCAGGAAATAAAAAAGACATATATTAATTATTAAGTGTTGTTTCTCTGAAATAAAGGCAAAAATATTTTTAGGAAATAGAAAACTAAATTTCCAGCTATAGGTAACACATATTTCATCATTCATTCTTTGTACATTGAAATGTTTCTTACAAATACATTAATTATACATAAAATTCTCGGACACAGTTTCTTGTTATGTCACTAGAACGCCTTGAATCAGCTATGACAGCTGGGTGCCGCTGACTGCATAACCCTGCTCTGGGCTGGGCTCAGTCAGGCCGATCAGAGACTCCAGGAGGTAGGTGCTCGACTCGTTCTGTGGCAAATAAACAGAGCTAAACAGCTGGAGGTGGCAAAAGCTGTCTGGGTTTCTGTGTACTTTGAAGGAGCTGTGCAGAGGCCCGGAGGCGTAGTCGCTGTCGAAGAACTCGATGTCGGAGTCAGAGGACAGACTCAGGTCCATGTACCTGCCTGAAAAATAGTCCACAGTGGGAGAGGGAGTGTTGGGGAAGCCCTCGAGAGAGTCATTGTCAAAGAAGTCTCTGGCCTGGTTTGCATTCTCATTGAGGTAATCCGTCTGTGAGGTCCTGCTTACATGGTCTGTGAATGCGTTGGCTGTAAGTGGTCCAGTGCTGTCAGCGGGGGTGCTGTAAGTGGCAGGGTTGCCGCCGTGCTGCGTCAGTGGTTCTCCCGTGTGCCTCGGTTGGCTGCGCGTAGAGTGGTTATTATTTTCAGAGTCACAGATGCTGAGGGCACTCGACAACCCTCCATCCACACCAGGGAGATTCTGACTCCCATTAAGGCACCGTCCTGCATCAGAGTCAGAGGAGGAGCACGAGGAATCGGTCATGTCGCTGCTGCAGCTGTTCTCCTCCACCACCAACCGCTCTGGGGCGAAATGAAAGGAAGGCGTGGTGGGCATGGTGAGAGGAAGACCGTCTTCCTCCATAGTGAACCCAAAGGGGCAGCTCTTGGCGCTCTGCGCCGGATGGGCCTCGTCCTGCTTCACATACTCTTCCAGGTTCTCTGGAAGTCCTGTCTGGTCGTCTTGGCTCAGCGTTTCATCTTGCAGTCGCCTCTGCAGTTCGAGTTTCATGACGGTGTGGATGTAATGAGTCTGCACATGTCTGGAGTTGAACTCGATGCGCCCCTGAGTGTTTCCACAGCCGTCCTTGGTGCAGCCACATGGGAAGTTGAAGCGGTCCACCTGTGTGCAAAAGACAGCAGAAAGAGGAAATCAGTGCTGTGGGTACTCCAATGCAATAAGTATTGACAGTATGATCTGAAGTTAACAAACACTGAGACACATGAGCGGGGGAAATGTCTTTTTGGCAAAATGATTGTAAAAATCGTATTTATTTTAAATGTACTCGTTTAAATTCCTGATTGACTTATTACAATAGTGCAAATAATAAATGATAGCATCCATTAGGGTGGATGACGGATAAAATCCTCAATTACAGTAAATGTATCTTTACATCACATTATTGACACAATTTGTAATGTGACACATTTTCTGGAAAATCAATTCAGCAATTGTTAAAGTATAAAATAACAACATAGGAATGTCAGTTTTTGGCAAATTGACAGTTCGCTAAAAGGCAATGGCTAAATGGTTGGAGTGGTTAACTAAAAGTGAATGATGAAAATTTCTCCAACATGCGATTCACGTGAGATGTTTAACGGGCTGAAAATACAATTTCACAATCAAATTTGTAAAAATTCAAAGCCAGTCATATGGCAAGATGAAACATGCCAGGGCTGAATTAGACTTCTAATCAGCCCTTGTGCTGTTGGGGGTTCAGGTAGTGTTTGTTTATGTATAAGTGTTGTACCTGGCACTTGATTCCTGCCAGACTGCATGCGCAGGTCTCTGGCTCACAGAAGCCTTGGCAGTCACATCCGCAAGCCTCCCTGGAGACTCGCAGGGCATGGAGCTGCCTCTTCTCCTCCCGGTCGATGCGCTTCACCCCCGCCGCCTGGAGGAGAGCCTGCCGCTGTTTGGAGGAGTACGGCTGAAGGAAACCCCCATCCTCCAGTTCGGCTTCGCCGATGTGGACGTCGGTGTCTTCGTCTGGGATCTGATCCACCGTGAGCCTGTCGGCCTCTCTCCGGTCAACGGCCCCGCTGGTGATTAACTGGAATCAGCGCAACAGATAAAGTAAGGAGACTGCCGTGTGGACGGCGCTACGCGGACAAACGTGGGAACGAAGTGCACTCACTTTCTGTTTCAGTGCCTCGAGCCTCTCTTTCCTCCGCCTCTCTCTTTGTCCGTGCCGTCGCTCCAGCGCGTGCTCCGCCAGCGTGTACCTCTGAAGGGTGCCGTGCCTCCGCACCATGCCCAAGGTGGCCCCTCCGTGACTGGGCATGCTGGTGAAGCCCTGGCAGCGCGGAAAACTGAACACGGTGACTTGGTCAAAGCGCACGTTGCCCCGTGCGCCTGCAAGCCTGGGCCTCTTCAGGATGGACCGAACTGTTGGTGTTAGAAAGAAACAAAAACATCAGGGAAAAAGTGAGGCGCTGTCGGGTTTTGTATTAAAGAGGGACTCTGAGGTAGGACCATAACAACATGCTGGGAAACATCAGCATGTCTGTCAGAGCAGGCCCATATTTACGACATATTGCTCGAAAATGGTCACAGTGATGCATTTTTGGTCTTAGTTTAAGATTTAGCAAAAGAATATCACCTGAAATGGTGATAAAGGACATCTGCAAAGTGAAGGCGGATGACCCCCTTTTTCCTCAGTCTAAAATGCCAGTGCACTGCAACAGGTGAAATCTACTAGGTTCTAGTATTTTACTCATCTAGTTCAAATTAAAACGGGACTTTAATACATGAGGGGTATTTTCATGATGTTTTTGTTTATTTCCAAAGACCCGATGATCTACTTTCTACTCTCTAAATGTTGTAAAACAACAACTCTCTCTTTTGCTGAAAGTCTGCATAAGAAGCTTGATAAATAACTCTCAAGTCCTACTCTGAGACACTGCAGCAGTGTTTTTAGTCTTTCAGTCCAGTTCCTAGAAAGGATTCCTGGACACTTGATAAATACAGGCCCTGGATGTCAACACAGGCTTCTGTAGGTCTCTGAGTGGCCACTAGGTGACACTCTACAGGTGCTTCACTCCAGTGTCTTTGCGTCACTTGTTTAACATACATGTGGAGAGGAAATACCAAGCACAGGGTCTATAGCAGCAGCAGTGGACAGAGAGAAAAAGAAGTAAACCAGGGTCTCACTGCTGGTCTTCGGTGGTTTACCAGAACATAGTTACACTCTCTCTGACAGTTTAGTCTTATATCCAATCGGGTCACTGTTTGGTTTAACAGTTTGGCTTCAGCAAATTGTCTAATCTTTACACATAACTGAGGCTGAACTCAAGCTCCAGAAGTCTCTAAACAACTGAGACCAGCTGACCAAGCTCATCCCAGCTGCTCGGCCTGTCTAAGGAGCTCCACACTGGGGCACTGTTTGCACCAGGACTCAACTCTGGCTCTGTGACAAAATAGCAAAAGCAGAAACTGCTTACTTCAGTCACTTTTAGACTGCAGGCCCCAATATGTAGCTCTGTGATACCTTCATAATGACCATTTGATACAACTTGTTTAATAGGACCTTGCTATTCAAATTGAATCCACAACATCCTTTATTGCTCAGGCAAATGATCTTCTACCCAACTGCACAGACAGTCCAGAGGCGAGTCATTCACACTGCGCATTATCTAGAACGGCCCTAAGGTTAGCGCTTTCATATCGGTGCTGCTGCAGACTGATAAGAGACACTCCTATAAAACACAGATGAGAAAAAAAAGCCAGATAAGGAGGAGGTTTTGCATTATTTGAAAGTGTGGGGGGGGGGGGGGGGGGGGGGGGGG